ACACACCCGCTTGAAGACAACTAACTGCTATTCAATCTATAACAGTGAAAAAAGTGTTTTGTTTTTAAATGCACGCTATTGTCACACCAGATATGAGTTGCATTGTGAACTGGCAGAGGTTGGCAGAGTACACGCTGTAGGCCTGACACACCCGCTTGAAGACAACTAACTGCTATTCAATCTATAACAGTGAAAAAAGTGTCTTGTTTTTAAATGCACGCTATTGTCACACCAGATATGAGTTGCATTGTGAACTGGCAGAGGTTGGCAGAGTACACGCTGTAGGCCTGACACACCCGCTTGAAGACAACTAACTGCTATTCAATCTATAACAGTGAAAAAAGTGTCTTGTTTTTAAATGCACGCTATTGTGACACCAGATATGAGTTGCACTGTGAACTGGAGGAGGTTGGCAGAGTACACACTGTAGGGCTGACACACCCGCTTGGAGACAACTAACTGCTATTCAATCTATAACAGTGAAAAAAGTTTTTTGGTTTTTAAATGCATGCTATTGTGACACCAGTGAGTGAGTGGTGGCACTGGGCAAGTGGGCACAGTATACGCTGCGAGCCTGACACACAGACGCTTGCAGACAACTAACTGCTATTCAATCTATTACAGTGAAATTATTTTTTTTTTAAATGCAAGCTATTGTGACACCAGTGAGTGAGTGGTGGCACTGGGCAAGTGGGCACAGTATATGCTGCGAGCCTGACACACAGACGCTTGCAGACAACTAACTGCTATTCAATCTATTACAGTGAAATACATTTTTTTTTTAAAATGCAAGCTATTGTGACACCAGTGAGTGAGTGGTGGCACTGGGCAAGTGGGCACAGTATCCACTGTGAGCCTGACACAGAAGCTGGCAGATAACTAACTGCTATTCATTCTATTATAGTGAAAAAAAATATTTTTTTAAATGCAAGCTATTGTGACACCAGTGAGTGAGTGGCGGCACTGAGCAAGTGGGCACAGTATACGCTGCGAGCCTGACACACAGACGCTTGCAGACAACTAACTGCTATTCAATCTATAACAGTGAAAAAAGTTTTGGGGTTTTTAAATGCAAGCTATTGTGACACCAGATAAGAGTGGCACTTTGAACTGGCAAAGGTTGACAGAGTACACGTTGTAGGCCTGACACACAGACGCTTGGAGACAACTAACTGCTATTCAATCTATAACAGTGAAAAAAGTTTTTTGTTTTTTAAATGCACGATATTTTGACACCAGTGAGTGAGTGGTGGCACTGGGCAAGTGGGCACAGTATACGCTGCGAGCCTGACACACAGACGCTTGCAGACAACTAACTGCTATTCAATCTATTACAGTGAAAACATTTTTTTTTTAAATGCAAGCTATTGTGACACCAGTGAGTGAGTGGTGGCACTGGGCAAGTGGGCACAGTATACGCTGCGAGGCCTGACACACAGACGCTTGCAGACAACTAACTGCTATTCAATCTATAACAGTGAAAAAAGTTTTTGGGCTTTAAATACAAGCTATTGTGACACCAGTGAGTGAGTGGTGGCACTGGGCACAGTATCCACTGTGAGCCTGACACACCCGCTTTGAGACAACTAACTGCTATTCAATCTATAACAGTGAAAAAAGTTTTTTGGTTTTTAAATGCACGCTATTGTGACACCAGTGAGTGAGTGGTGGCACTGGGCAAGTGGGCACAGTATACGCTGCGAGCCTGACACACAGATGCTTGCAGACAACTAACTGCTATTCAATCTATTACAGTGAAATACATTTTTTTTTTAAAATGCAAGCTATTGTGACACCAGTGAGTGAGTGGTGGCACTGGGCAAGTGGGCACAGTATCCACTGTGAGCCTGACACAGAAGCTGGCAGATAACTAACTGCTATTCAATCTATTATAGTGAAAAAAAAAATTTTTTTTTTTAAATGCAAGCTATTGTGACACCAGTGAGTGAGTGGTGGCACTGGGCAGAAGTGGGCTGGTATAAAGCTGCGAGCCTGACACCTGAGCGGCTTACAGACAACTAACTGCTATTCAATCTATAACCCAGGTAGAAAAAGAAGTTTTGGGGTTTTTTAAATGCAAGCTATTGTGACGCAGATAAAGAGTGGCACTTTGAACTGGCAAAAGGTTGACAGAGTACACGTTGTAGGCCTGACAACTAACTACTATTCAATCTATAACAGTGAAAAAAGTTTTTTGGTTTTTAAATGCACGCTATTGTGACACCAGTGAGTGAGTGGTGGCACTGGGCAAGTGGGCACAGTATATGCTGCGAGCCTGACACACACAGACGCTTGGAGACAACTAACTACTATTCTAACTGCTATTCAATCTATACAGTGAAAAAAGTTTTTTGGTTTTTAAATGCACGCTATTGTGACACCAGTGAGTGAGTGGTGGCACTGGGCAAGTGGGCACAGTATACGCTGCGAGCCTGACACACAGACGCTTGCAGACAACTAACTGCTATTCAATCTATTACAGTGAAATTATTATTTTTTTAAATGCAAGCTATTGTGACACCAGTGAGTGAGTGGTGGCACTGGGCAAGTGGGCACAGTATATGCTGCGAGCCTGACACACAGATGCTTGCAGACAACTAACTGCTATTCAATCTATTACAGTGAAATACATTTTTTTTTTAAAATGCAAGCTATTGTGACACCAGTGAGTGAGTGGTGGCACTGGGCAAGTGGGCACAGTATCCACTGTGAGCCTGACACAGAAGCTGGCAGATAACTAACTGCTATTCAATCTATTATAGTGAAAAAAAATATTTTTTTAAATGCAAGCTATTGTGACACCAGTGAGTGAGTGGCGGCACTGGGCAAGTGGGCACAGTATACGCTGCGAGCCTGACACACAGACGCTTGCAGACAACTAACTGCTATTCAATCTATAACAGTGGAAAAAGTTTTGGGGTTTTTAAATGCACGCTATTGTGACACCAGATAAGAGTGGCACTGTGAACTGGCAGAGTACATGCTGTAGGGCTGACACACCCGCTTTGAGACAACCAACTGCTATTCAATCTATAACAGTGAAAAAAGATTTTTGTTTTTAAATGCAAGCTATTGTGACACCAGTGAGTGAGTGGTGGCACTGGGCACAGTATCCACTGTGAGCCTGACACACCCGCTTTAAGGACACTGACTGCTATTCAATCTATAACAGTGAAAACATTTTTTTGTTTTTAAATGCAAGCTATTGTGACACCAGTGAGTGAGTGGTGGCACTGGGCACAGTATCCATTGTGAGCCTGACACACCCGCTTTGAGACAACTAACTGCTATTCAATCTATAACAGTGAAAAAAGTTTTTTGTTTTTAAATGCAAGCTATTGTGACACCAGATAAGAGTGGCACTTTGAACTGGCAAAGGTTGGCAGAGTACACGTTGTAGGCCTGACACACAGACGCTTGGAGACAACTAACTGCTATTCAATCTATAACAGTGAAAAAAGTTTTTGGGTTTTTAAATGCACGCTATTGTGACACCAGTGAGTGAGTGGTGGCACTGGGCAAGTGGGCACAGTATACACTGCGAGCCTGACACACAGACGCTTGCAGACAACTAACTGCTATTCAATCTATTACAGTGAAATAAAAAAAAATTTTAAATGCAAGCTATTGTGACACCAGTGAGTGAGTGGTGGCACTGGGCAAGTGGGCACAGTATCCACTGTGAGCCTGACACAGAAGCTGGCAGGCAGGCAGGCAACTGCAATTACATTACCCAGAAGAAAAAAAAAGCAGACTGATGTTCTAGCCCTAAAAAGGGCTTTTTGGGGTGCTTTCCTTACAGCAGAGATCAGATGAGTCCTTCAGGACTGTAGTGGACACTGTGTACACTAACCTAGCTATCCATTTCCCTATCAAATCAACAGCAGCTACACTTTCCCTCCTCTCGCTAAGCATGCAGCTTGAGAATGCATCTAAAATGGATGTTGTCCAGTAGGTGGGAGGTTCTGCTAGGGAGGGTGTGCTGCTAATTGGCTGGAATGCGTCTGCTGACTGTGAGGTACAGGGTCAAAGTTTACTCAATGATGACGAATAGGGGGTGGATCGAACCACGCATATGTTCGCCAGGAACTATTCACCAGCGAACCGTTCGGTGCATCACTAGTTGCTGTGTGTGGGTAGCTGTGACTGTTGTGCTTTTGTTTTGTGAGTGCTGTGTGGGTAGCTGTGTAGTGATGTGTGTGTGGGTGTAGCCATGACTTGTGTATATTGCTGTGTGTTGGAAAGAGTCATGCTCAGAATGGCCATTGGCAAACTGGGAAAATGCCCAGTGAGCAGCAATAGCCATGGGCCAAGGCCGACAGGTGACATCAGAGGATTTCCACTGCTGGCCCATGGAGGGCCAGCACAATCCAGGCTCTGTGACATCAACAATCTCCCTCTTGGTCCAAATCACAGGGCTTTAGCATGCAGCTCAACCAGGTTCCTCTCGCAAGGTCGGAGCATTGCCGCTGTTACCTTGGCAACCCGCCCGCCAGCTCTTGCAAGAGTAAATTCTAATCAGAGGAGCTGCAGGCTACAGTTAACTCACCACTGAACCACGAAGGCTTGCAAAGTCCCCCCTCACAGGCCAAAGGTAAGAAGAAAGGGGGATATAAAGTTTATTCCTTTAAATGTATTTAAAAATTAAATAAGTATGCAAATATTTATAATTTTAAAATATATATTTGTCTCCATCTGCTCCCGTGCAAATGATTAAGGTCAGTATTTCTACATGCATTCCTGCCTTACATAAATATTCTGAATTAATAAGAATACAATCATCCCTAGTAACAGATATATTTATTTATATGATACACTCAAATATACAGGATCACAAATGCCCATCTACAGTAAGAATCCCTCCCCCCATACCTGCAGAATTGTATTGATCAGAAACTCCTCCCATTCTTACTTTTTACAGCAAACTTGGCACAGTGCCATGCTTCCTCCTCAAGTGTATATAAGGCTCATCACAGAATGGCAATCTCTTCCCTTCCTATTCTCCACTTCAACAGAAAGAATGGGGACACCTAAAGGGATCCCATTGTGGATCCTATCAATAACTCTGGGCTCACTGAATGGTAAGTACTTTTTTCCATTTAACATTCAAATCTATTTAACATTTATCCATTTAACAGAAAAAAGGAATATAAAAGCGGTGAAATGCGTATTTACGTTTACACCAGGTAATATGAGGAGGATTGTTGTGTCTTATATATGGGCAAAAATATTACGTTAACGTAAAATTAATAAGTATTAACCCACGGATAAACTTTACATATTAATGAAAAATATTACGTAAAGTAGGGTCGTTTCTGAATTTTAAAGTGAAATTTACAACAAAATTAAGGCAATGGATTAAATTACAAAGGCATTCTGTATATGGTCATTATTGTATTTTCATTGTTAATTGTTTCTTTGAAAACTCAATAAAACATACAAAAATTGCAACAACAAAAAAACTGAAATAATTCTAAGAAACACATGTAGGAATAATAATAATAATAATAATAATAATAATAATAATATAATACACCATAGATATAGGTTATGTCTAAATCACAGGTTATTCAAACATATATTTTACAAGGTTTTAATTATTGATCGTAATAAGAATAAATACTGCCTGCATTTTAAATTATTTTATACAAAAAATATGTTGTTATTGTTTTTATAAAGAGTAAACAAAGAAAATACAATGTGCTTAAAGCAGGGTTTAGGTGATTTCCCCTTCTCCAGCACAACAGTGTATAGTGCAGCTTACGCTCTGATTTGTTTAGCGCTGCACTTTACACTGTTGTGCTAGAGAAGGGGATATCACCTAAACCCTGTTTTAAGCACATTGTATTTTCTTTGTTTACTCTTTATAAAAACAATAACAACATATTTTTTCTATAAAATAATTTAAAATGCAGGCAGTATTTATCCTTAGAATAAAATTATTCATATTCACTAAGCGCCCGCGTTTCACACATCAAAATATCACCCATTGTTTTTATAAAGGTTACAAAAATAAGGATTAAATACTTGAAAAGGATAAGTGGCGCTAAAATTAAATAAGATGTATCAAAACAATAAATATATCCCAGTAGGAACATAACTGTGATAATTGTAGACAAGATGTATTAACAGTTATACATATAGTGAGGCGATACATCAACAGTGGAGAATCCAGGTCAGGAATGTAGAGGAAAATAAATTAATTACATTTTACATAACAAAATAATCAAAAGTGGTGAACTCGCTGGTGAGAAGGCTATTTGGAAATCATGTTAATAGTAAGTGTACAGTAAAAGCGAGGTATTAATGCATGAGGTAAGTGACCTTGCACAGGGCCGTGTTTAGACAAAAATAAAATATTTTCATAATAACATTACTATATTTTTAACTTTGAATAAACTTTGAATAAAAAAAGCAGGATTATTCAATAAATTCAAAATGTTAAGATATTATTGGATAAGTTTTTCTAAATTACTTAGTTTTATCTACACATTTTAAAAACTTTTTCTTGCATTATCAAAAATATGTCCTACATAAAAATGTATCAATATATCCAAAAATATCAAAATATGAAATCTTCATATATTTTCAAATGTATTACATTGAGGAAAAGCTTTTCAAATTATTTCATATTTTTAGATAATTTATTTTTTAAAGGATTTATCCACAAAAATGGTGACAGGGTCTATGGACCTGCATGCTTAAAGCTTAATCATTTGGGCCTGTTAGCCAAGTGTGCCTTTGTAAAGACATTTTCAGGAGCACTCATTGGAATTGATTTTGTCCGACAAGAAGAAGCAGTCCAAAGAGGTGATAACTGCCTGTTTAGTGCGTAGAGGATAAGACCTCACCCTGAAGAATCATGATGAACTCTGGTGCCAGTGGAGAAGAGACGAATAACGTAACTGGACAGAACTACCCTGTTCCCGTTACATGAACGAGTACATTGTTTTTTTTCGTCATCAGCTATTAAAAAAGAACATTATAGAACTGTATTGGTTCAGAAATTAGTAACATTATTATTTTACAAAATGCTAAATTTAGGTCACACAATCCTATATAATTTTTCTTATATAAATATACATATAATATATTATCAGATCATATCTAACATAATAAATTATAGCCACGGCTCTTGCCTGCCTTTCCATTTAATTCTTTCATGTCACATCTCTCTCTTTAGTTTTGCATTTTTACATTTTTAATATGTTTTGTTTCTCACTTTGCTCAATCTCCATATACTTGCCTTTAATTCAAAAGAAAAACACAATATTAGAGTGAATGTTTATCTGATATATAAATAGAATGCATTCTGTAATCTATGTTGTTGCTCTACAAATAAAAAAAATAAAACAATGCATTATAATAATATCGTTATATGCACTATTACATTCACTGTATTATAACTGTTTCCAGAACAGAAGTGGAGAGATAAGAATGTAAATACTTTGTAACTAAAGTTACATAAGCTTGGCTCAAAGCCATGTGTTTGGAGCATACAAGTGCATTGACAGGTTAGGAATGAGCTTCCCATTTACAGTTAAATGTTTTGCTTTAATATTACTGAAACAAAACATTGGTCTGGCGGTTTCAAAATAGTGCTACATTTATAGTTATCTGTCAAGCAGAAGATACATTGTTTTTCATATTCAATATGAAACTATGGAACTGTAAAATATCAACATTTCTGCAATAACAGAAGATGTATTCCCTAAACACTGTTCTGAAACTCTTTGACTACTTACAAGCAGGGGACCATAACCACTACAGTGAACCATAGTGGGTATAGTACTTGGACTGTTCCTTTATCTAATTTACACTTTTTGCAGGAAAAAAAACTTTAAAATAATATTACTAAATGTACCAGACTTATTTTATTAAAGTAACATTCTACCACTTTATCACAGCACCACTACCTAGTATTAAAACTCCTTTTACTGAATATGGGACAAAAAGGTTTGGGTGCCATCTCCACAGTTTATGTTAAGCCATGTGTACATGGCAGATGAATGTACATTGTTATCACATACCAAAAAATACACATACCTACGGTGTATAATAGAAGCTGTATGCACAATTCTCAACTTCAAGTCACAGGCATGTTGATTTAGTTTCTAAACACTGTTTTCCGTACTTACTCAAAATCTCTTTATTTTATTTTTAATCTTTTCCTTAACTTGTTGTCCCCACAGCTCAATTCTGGCATGAAGGCAACATTTTGGAAGAGTCCAGTGGCTACATTCCTGATAACAGCGGACAACAGCAGACCAGTATGTGAAAATGACTGTTATTAGAATTATTTAAGTGATGATATACAGGTTCTGTTTCTTTCTTTCTCTCTCTCTCTCTCTCTCTCTCTCTCTCTCTCTCTCTGTGTGTTATGTACTTGTATTTTTGGTACAGCTTATGAAAATAATGCAGTTGGTATTATGTTAGTACTATTATATTTAAAACAGTAGGCACCAAATTAGCTATGTCTACCACCCTTGTATATTAAAAGATTACTCCAAGAAAAAAACTAGTTTTGGTAAGAGTAACCCATTGCTGTGCTAGTCCCCGTGGTCAAAGTAAAAAGGAAAAAAAAAGCGCACCTCTGTATCAGTGTCGAGGCCAGGATAGCTACACAGCCAGATACTCTTCCTCCGATGTCACTTCCCCTAGCTCCACTGGAGGGATGTAGCATGAGGATGGGCTTAGAGGAGAATGTGTGCACATCATTGTCTGTCTGTCACCAGTATGCTGTGTATACTCAGGGCCAGTGCATTCTTAACCCAACCCCCTCCTGTATCTTTCTTACCCCAGTCCCTTTCTGTGTCTCCTGTTCCCCCAGCTCCTTTCTTTGTCTCTCACAGTCCCTCTGTGTGGCTCTTTTCCCCCCTCAGTCCATTTTGTGTGTCCCTTCCCTCGAGATCTCTTTGTGTGTCTTTTCTCCCAAGCCATATAGTGCCCTCCTCCCTCTTGTCATCCCCACCATCACTCGACACTAAAGGTTTTAAAATCATATGGATATTTAGAAGATGCTGGATGTCCTCATGCACAGGGTGCGGATGTCCAGCATTAGTTAGGCAACTTTTGGTCACCTAACCACTCGAAAGTCCCTCGGTGGAGTTACCCATCAAGGTAATTATTGCAGTTTCTAGGAAACTGCAATAATTACACTTGCAAGTTTAAGGGGACTGGGACACTGCACCCAGACCACTTCAATGAGGTGAAGTTGTCTGGGTGCCTATAGTGTCCCTTTAAGCACACACTCTGACAGATACACATTGACAGTAACACACACACTCAATGACAAACACACAGACATCACTCATTTGACACACACACATTCACTGACACACACTCATTCATTAACAGAGAGACACACACAAACACCCTGACAGATACACACTAATAGTCACACACACTCCAAATGACAAACAGACTCTCACTGATTTGACAGACACTCACAAACATACACTGACAGAAGCACATACACACAAACATATACATGCATACACTAACAGAAGCACAAACACTTATATACACACATACATACATACACTAACAGATGTAAATACACTAATACACATACAATAACAGAAACACATACGCTAAAAGACATAAACTAAGAGACATACACACATATACATGCACTAACATACACACACACACATACACTAACAGACATACACACACATACACTAACAGACATGCACACACACATACATACATACATACACTAACAGACATACACACACACTAACAGACATACACACACACACACATAAACAAACAGACATATACAGATGATTAATATTATTAAAATTAACATTTCCCACCCACCCAGCCTCCCTACCTCTTGGGAAAGCTGGCATGGATGTGTCCCTGGGGTCCAGTGGGGCTGCAGTAAGGCAGGCGGCTGTCTCCCTTTCACACGTGGCGAGGGAGCTGTGTCTTCTCTGCTCTGCTCCCTCTCACCATGCGGGCTGTCTACTGATGCTGGGAGCCGGAACATGACATCATATTCTGGCTCCTGGCATCAACAAACAGTGCGTGAGGGAGCAGAGCAGACACAGCTCCCTCGCCGCGTGTGACAGGGAGACAGCCGCCTGCCGGGGGGGGGGGCATCAGGTGCTCCCCCCATGACAGGGGGAACAAAGGGCATTTGGGGGGGGGCATTTTTTGCTGCACCCTGGTTAGTGCCTGCAGGGGGAACGGTGCTCCTTCTGTGAAAGAAGTGCAGGAACGCCATTCCCACGCGTTCCTGCAGGACTCAAGCCCTGCATACAGAAACATACAGGCATACAGAGACATTCATACATGCATACAGAGACATATATGCATACAGAGCCATGCATACAGAGACATACATACATACATACAGAGACATACATACAAACATACAGACATACAGAGACATACAGGCATAGAGACATATATGCATACAGAGCCGTGCATACAGAGACATACATACATACAGGCGTACAGAGACATATATGCATACATACAGGCATACATGCATGCAAAAACATAAATGCATACAGACATTCAGAGACATACATACATTCACAATTACATACCCTACTGTACAGACCCTGGGGTGCATGCTGTATGGCTCTGTGGAGTCCTGTCTTGAAGCCCAACCCCATCACTGGGCACCAGTGATGTAATTCATATCCCTGCCCCCTCCACACAGCCTGTGGCACTCACCAGGGTAGAAGGCTGGGCTCCGCAGGTGGTAAGACCTGGGCTGCGCTCGGCCATGCTTCAAGAAGTAACCGGCTGGAGAGGAGTGCACTGCACTTCCCTGCTGCCGGTCAGCCTAACATTGCGCCCCCATGGTTGGTGAGCTCCCAGGGTCGGTGTGCCTTATGGAAGCGCCGGCCCTGTGAATTCTGATGATAGATGACACATTTGCACAGAATTCTAATTATTCAGACCAGAACTCATGATCCAATCTTGCTAATGACCTGATGTGGTGGAGGTGGAGTTACTCCAACGAACGTGCCAGAGATGGAGTTACACATCTGACAGCAGAGGGATTAAAGAGTATGTGCAGAATTTCATAGGAAAATGCTGCACATACAGAATCCAGGTACCACGATGATTTTAAATCATAGAAGTGGTCATGGTGTCTGGAGTAACCCTCTAATAAATTAATATAAATTTGAATGTTCACTCTGATACACATAAAATATATGTTATCTTTACAAACAAACAAACAAACAAAATGTTTTATATTAGTAATACATTTGTAGATAATATTACAGTGAGATGCACCATGCTAAATATAAAGAGGAAAAAGACTATGGACCATGAAAGCGAAGACTTTGCTACTGCGTAAGTTATGTAGCATTTGCTTTGATATGACATGAAGTTAGGTGTTTGGGGCATAGCAGGTCTATTGACGCTATAAACGAGCTTCACCATTAAAATAGCTAAATACTGTCTTTTAATTGTATTGCAATAAACATTGATATGGCAAATTTGAAGTTGCAGATAAACTAATTTTTATACTTTTATGTAAAACTGAATAAAAGTTTAACATCTACCAGTAAAATTAACAACAAAATAAAATCATGTTGGTTAATTTAATGAGCATTGATTTAATGTACTAATATACATTTCTTAAAAGTTTGTTAACATTTTCCTTATACTTCCTGTCATTGCAGCTCCAAGTAATCATGTTAACAACACCCTGGAGGAATCTAGTGGCCACTATTCTGGTGATGACTCCCATGAGCACAACAGTATGTTTAAATTATTCCTATTATTATGACTTATTACTAAGCAAATGTATGATTCATAAGTTGTATCAATACGCAGTCTTATATGTGTTATGTACTTTTATTTTTGGTAAAGTTGATAGTAAATTATATATATTTGATATCGTTTGACTACAGATTTCTGTAAATATTCTTGCTTTTAAATTATTTTACTGCAAAATTTATTTTATATTTATATTGAAGATGACCCTTACATTTTTATTTTCAGAGGTTACTGGACCTCCAAGAATATCCATTATACCACCTATCTTTACCACTCCAGTTGTTAAAGGTAGGTTGATCATTTTTATAAAAGTTGTATTACTTTTTTCTACTAAGACTAAATGGTATTTTAGGTTTTGCTAAGCTTATGATTATTCAGATGATATGAATGGTCTATCGTGTGAGCCATCTCTCCTGTAGAGTTATATTATGTGTTGCAAGATAATTTTAAACAAGAAGATATACTATACATACCTGGCAACTCTTTCGGTTTGACTAAGGGATCCAAAATCTGACAGGTGATTTCTCTTCTCCGAATGGGTTACTTGCATCCAATTCCTCCTTAACTGAAAAACTGGCATCTATCCCTTTTGGCTATTCAAATGTTTGTGGCAAGTTTAGCATTATTCCTGTGATCATGCAAGCGGAATATAAAATCTCATATAAATTACACATAACGAACTCAATTCATGTCAAAGATAAATACAAACAGTATATTATTGATTCCATTTGAAAACCGGTGTGCCATTTTGATTTAAACATTGACATTGATTTTAACAGTGGAAAATATTTGCATACATTGTATCTTGATTCTATTACAGCAATCAACATGGCTCATAATAATAAAGTCTGTAGCACTTGGGGAAACTTCCACTATAAGAACTTTGACGGAGATATATTCTACTTCCCGGGGACTTGCAACTATGTTTTCTCATCCCACTGCAAAAGTGCATATGAAGACTTTAACATCCAGATTCAACGATCGGTTGTTGACAGTGTCCCTGTCATTTCAATGATCACAATGAAGATTGATGGGCTTGATGTACAAATAAACAGCAGTGATGTGAAGATCAAAGGAGAGAAGTAAGTTCTATTTTACATACTTTGTGTGAAATTAAATTTTTCCAACTTGTATATGTTTTTTTTCCCCCACAAATTAGAACAAAATTCTTCAATTGAGTTTGATAATTTTTATTCCTTTTAAAACCAATAATGCTTAGTTTTCTCATACGGGCCTATGTTGAATTGTTTTGAATCAAAATCAGAAATAATTTGATTATTTTGAAATGATTTCTCTTCAAATATTACCATAGACTTTAATGATAACAACTGAAGATAAAAAATATTTAATATCACAAAATGAAATAATTTTTGCTCTGATACAAACTAGTAAGTAAATTAAGGACATGGTTACAAAAACGATTTAATAGAATCATGGTATCAGTGGCTTTTCCCCCAGCCTAATGCTACCCCTTCAATCCAGGATGAATTTGTTAAGATGGAAAAAACTTTTGCAGCGTTTGGGACTCCACATGTGGTGGCCTACATCTCCCCCAGATGTTGCAGTGGGTTTCCCCAACATTCTCAACAACCCCATTTTCTTCCCTTAAATTTTCTCTTTTTTTTTTTTTCTTTTTTTTTTATTGACTTAGGTTTTACTGTTATGCGAAAAACTTGAAAAACTGGCACATGGGCTGACATTGCATTGACGTGAACATTTTCTGTACTGATGTGTTTTAAATAAATGATGGCATAACACTTATTTGCATACTTATCTTTTGCAAAGTTGGACAATATTATCAAACTCAATCTGTTCTTCCCTCCAGAGTTGCATTGCCATACAGTAGAGGTGGTGTTAAAATTGAGAAGAATCCAATGTATCTACAAGTGAGCTCAATACTTGGACTAGTTCTCATGTATAATCAGGATGAAAGCTTGTTGGTAAGAAAACAATGTAATATTTGTAGTTGCTGTTAAAGAAAACACTCCAAGTACCATAACCATTGTATTGTGTTGTAGGGGATGTAGTGACAACAGTGTCCTACTGCCCTACCTCCCCCATTGTAAAGAGTTTGAGTTCTTACCTGGGGTCAAGCAGAAGGTAGTTGGGGTGATCATTGGCACTTAGAGACCCCAAAAAGTTCAAAAAGACTATAGTAGTTTTGGTGCTTGGAGTGTTCCTTTAAGAAAGGGGAAAAAAACATGCTTGTCTAATTATAGAACTGGTTATTTTAAATGCAAGACAATTAATTATATTTGGTTTTCTCTTGAATAGCTGGAACTTGATCAGAAGTATGCAAATCACACATGTGGGTTGTGTGGGGACTACAACAGTTTACCAACCAACAATGAGTTCATTTCCAATGGTTTGTATAGTTGCAGATTGGTAGCAAAGTGATAATAAAGGTTACATTACATGCAACGTGTTATCAGTGAAGATCATTGTAAAGTGTCTCGTTCTAATTTAGGGGATATGCTGTATGTTAAGTAATTCAGTCGTTCTTAGGAAGGCACTCTCATGAAACGGCAATAAGAGAAATCTACCAAGGTATAATGATATATGTAGCTTAATCCTAATATAACATTAACCAAACATCTTAGATGTTGCTGAACTACAGCAACCATGATTATCTAGGCATCAACAACATTCAAAGAATTCTGGGAACTGCCAAATTCTAAAGGCGCAGAGCACAGAGTATGAGATCCCTAATCTAATTAAATGAGTGATCACAAAGACAACAATAATTAAAACCTTAGGAAACATGGGAAAACGTTGTACCTCTATTTGGTTTCCATTAGATATATTCTTGGAAAATCCTACAATATTCTCGTATAGAGGTTAAATGCAATTGCTGAATGTACAAATGTGAGTAAAAAACACTCAATTCACAATTATAATTTATGTATGACTTCATTAGAATGTATAATGGTGCAATATTTGCGTTACGAAATATATATATTTATACGTATATTTCCAGATGTACGAATCACAGAAACCCAGTTTGGAAACCTACAGAAAATGGATGGACCAACAGAGTTCTGTCTGGATCTTCCAAATACACCCGAGAGCAATTGCACAGACCATGTAAGAAATACCATTTATGGTGAAATGGCAAATATTTTTTAAACATGTCAACCTTTAAAAAAAAGTTGAGATTTGCATCATTTAGAATGATAATCTCTGCAATTTGATTAATTGCATTAAATGTATTTATTAATGCGTAATGTGATATATAGCCTTTTAATGCAAGAAAAACTGTATTTGTTGAAATGCGCATGTTATTAGTGGCGTGTAATAAGAGGTAATGGGATATTACAGTTTAAAATATTCTATTACTAGTAGAGCAACGTTATATTACTAAGTAGAGCAACCTTAGAGAAAGACTGCGAAAACTACCTTTTGCAATTAATCATGAAGCCAGTGGCTTAACCATCTTATAGAAACATAGAATGTGATGGCAGATAAGAACCATTCGGCCCATCTAGTCTACCCAATTTTCTAAATACTTTCATTAGTCCCTGGCCTTATCTCATGGCCTTATCTTATAGCTAGTATAGTCTTATGCCTATCCCACTATCCCACGCATGCTTAAACTCCTTTACTGTGTAAAGGAAGGCTATTCAATGCATCCACTACCCTCTCAGTAAAGTAATACTTCCTGATATTATTTTTAAACCTTTGTCCCTCTAATTTAAGACTATGTCCTCTTGTTCTGGTAGTAGTTCTTCTTTTAAATGTAGTCTCCTCCTTTACTGTGTTGATCCCCTTTATGTATTTAAATGTTTCTATCATATCCCCCTTGTCTCGTCTTTCCTCCAAGCTATACATGTTAAGATCCTTTAACCTTTCCTGGTAAGTTTTATCCTGCAATCCATGAACCAGTTTAGTAACCCTTCTCTGAACTCTCTCTAAAGTATCAATATCCTTCTGAAGATACGATCTCCAGTACTGCGTACAATACTCCAAGTGAGGTCTCACCAGGGTTCTGTACAATGGCATGAGCACTTCCCTCTTTCTACTGCTAATACCTCTCCCTCTTCGGTAATGCACTTTTTTTGTGTGTGTTTAATTGGATTTCATTTGCAGTAAATACACAGTACAGATACTTGGCGATACTCTTTTATGCATAACATATAGCAATAAAAAGTGCATAACCATATGAAACCTTGACGCAGCACGGAGTCTTAGAAACATTTTAACAGTTTAATGCAATTGAATATATAGTGATAATGAAATTGCATCACAAGAAATCTATTGCGAAAGTCATATGCTGTGATCATATTTCCCCTTGGTGAATACGTAATGCAATAAACAAATGACATAATATAGATAATTGAAATGAATCACTTATGAAACGAAAGGAAAAAGAAAGAAAAGCGCAAGAAGAGAATTTATTTTGTACCACCATGTCTCTTGTCAGAATTTTATAGTGGTGTAGGTCATGTTATAGACTGGGTAAGTTGTCCTTTAAGGTTAGGTTAACCTTGGGGTACTACTTAGATGGCTCACTCTAGGTGTTGGGAACAAAGGCAACCTTATCAGTTGGTGGAAGCCTATCTGTGACACCTTAGTGAGTAATTCTATATATATACCTCTACAAAAAACCTGATAATCGAGGCAGGCCTGGGTGAATGAATGGTCGGTGGGGCATAGTGCTAAGAAAAAAATGGAGAGATTCAGTATTGCTGGTTCTGGGAGTGTGGGAGTGCGAGGTGAGGCCTGAAGAACAGAGATGGAGATGGATCCGTTATATGAAGTTATTTACAGCCAGGAGGAGCAAAGGACAGGGGGGAGGGGGGATAGAGTAAACATTTGTTGTATATCATTGAAAAATTTACCAACCAAATTCTATCACCCAAAATATTAATAACTGTGTTCATGAAATATTGGTTGAATACATTAAATAACAATAATAAAAAAACAATGCATGAACAGAAAACTAACAGTGGCAAACTACACGTATAAATGGTAACAATTCTAGTCCAGTCCATGCAGAGAGGGCTTAGGACAATTGGCCAAAAGCTCTGCAAAAAAATTTAGGTTACTATTAATCAGGGAGGTGGGCCTCTAATTACAGCAGGCGGTGGGGTCTGTCCCCGGTTTGGGTATCACCGCTATCATCGCAGCAGTTGTTCCATAGGCATCTCATTGAAGGAGTTTAGAAATTGTTTACCAAGTAGATTCCCAAAGATATAATATCGAGCCGTCAGCCCATCTGGGAAAAGCACAGGACCAGTGAAGGGCTCCTCAAGGGCTTTAGCCATCTCAGCTGAGATTTTATTAATCAAGTATTTAGAGAGGTAGTCAATAAGCTGAATGTCATGAAGTGTTTTATGAAGTAACTGTCTTTGGTGTTTCAGATTATCTCTATGGATGGTGGTGCTATCAACGCCTCTGTCCAATACAATGTTTCAGTCAACCCCTACCACCACCACCCACTCTGTGAAAGGTTCCAACTTATTTACACATGTAAATAACACATCATCAATCATCTCTTTCACAAATAAAAACCTCCCTTGAGTATCAGTTTTGAGAGTTATTAGAGTAAAAGCAATCCTGGAAAATAATAAGATGGACATATGACTTACTCTTATGCTAGTTACTATAATATTAGAGCGCAATATCTTTAGATCATGATTTGGGGTCCGAGCCCTCCCTAAAATGCATTTCTTGCAAGAAAAAGATGTCTGCTCGGCTCATGTCAATTTCATGTTTCAAGATCCTGACTTTCTAAAAAGTGTTCAACCCTCGACATTGACATCGTCTTCTGGGAGGCTTAGCGACAGTTGAAAAGGTCTGACATCATCCAGCGATGAGATGGTCAGTATCTTGCCTTGGTGAGAGGCCATCAGCCCAGAAGGAAAATTGCATTTGAATCTGATGTTGTGGTCATTTAGGGCCTTGGTAACAGAGAGTAGTGCTCCCCTGGCGGTTAAAGTGGCCTGTGGGAGATCCTGGTATGTAATCACGGTAAAGCCATCAAATTATATATTCCTCAATTACCAGGCCTTCTGGAGAATATCTTCATTCAGGGTAAAATTATGAACCCTGCAGATAATGTTTCATGGCCTGTGTCAAGGTAATGCTTGTTTTCTAAGGGCTCTATGTGCCCAATCAAATTTAATGTGAGTGTCACCGTCTCGGTTTAATATCTGATTGAACAGCTTAATTAGGGTGCTTATGATGTCTTCCACCCCAAAACCTGTATATTCTGGTACACCACCAACACATAGATTGTGCCTCCTGCCTCTGTTATCCAAGTCATCTAGTTTACAATCAAAAAGGAACAGAAGCGCTTCATTGTGTGTTTGCAGGGACTCCTGGACTGCAATTCTTTGTAAGGCTCCAGCCTCTCCTTCATTTAGCACAGCCACTCTGGTTCCTATTTGATGCACATCTTTGTAGAGTGTGTGAAGTTTGTCCCAAAAGCTATTTTCCAGCTTGTACAGCATATTTGCAATGTCAGTCTTAGAAGGTAACTGTGCCTGCATGGAGGCCTCATCAGGAGACATCATCAGTGGAGGCCTCAGATAGAGAGGGGCTGGCCGGAGCACTGTTGTGCAGCGCCATCTTGCCTGTGTCAGACGGGACCACCATCTCAGTGAAAAATCTCTGCAGGGAGGATTTTACTGGCACTGCTGAGGTGGCAGGGGTCAGCACCATAATTTCTTGCTTGCCATGTGTGTGGTCAGGTTCGGGAAGTGCTAATTATAGCCCGAAGTACAGCAGAGCTCGGCACTTTTTCTGCTATCCACTTCAGCTATTGGGTACTACAATGTAAAATGCTAATTTCAAGTGAGAATATATGATACCCACTGAAGAAGATGAAATGCACTTAAAGAAAAATAAATGTTCCACAAATACTTTCTTTAATAATCATTTGCTGATTTGTCACTGAAAATGGTGTGTAATAAACTTTCCCATAAAAATACTTCTATTTTAGATGGACTTCTGCAATGAAATGTTGTTTGGAACAGCATTCACAAATTGCCATTCTTTGGTGGATGTTGAAAAATACATTGAGGCTTGTGTGAAAGACCTGTGTCTTTGTGAACTAAATGTGACCATGCTCTGTTTGTGTGATACATTTGCTGAATACTCAAGACAATGTGCCCATGCCGGAGGTCAACCACAGAATTGGAGAACACCCGATTTGTGCCGTGAGTGCCCATTACCTGTCCTACACCAGCAATGGTCTAGTCAAATAATTATAAAATAAGTATGAAATTCACTTTTTTTCTGAGCATTATTAGACACAGTGAATTATCTTCCTAACGTAATGTTCTATCTATCTATCTATCTATCTATCTCTATTGGATGTCATTATACTTACACAATAGATTTCAGTTTCTAGTTTTTTCATTCTTTCCTCACAGCTAAAAATTGTCCTTTTAACATGGAGTACAAAGAATGTGGTTCACCTTGTGCTGATACCTGCTCAAATCCAGACAGGGGTGATATTTGTGAAGACCATTGCTTGGAAGGCTGTTTCTGTCCCCCAGGTACTTTTTTAAAGCATGTTTCAGAAGAAAGTATCAATGTTTATAGGTAAAAGGTAAAACAAAGGGTCTGAGATATTAAAATACATTTTATTTGTGTTACTTCATAAAACAAGGAATCAATCAATGATGTGGCTGAATTGCTTTGACTTAAATTTGCTCTTAAACTTAACAATGCATTTTACATTAGGAACTGTCTTTGATGACATCAGAAAAAAAGGCTGCATTCCCACTGAAATGTGCCCTTGCGCTTTTAAGAAAGATATATATGCCAGTGGAGACTCTTACTCTACATCTTGTAGTAACTGGTGAGTCTGTATCTAATAGCAAGCAATTTTTAAGATGTTCCTAAACCTAATCTATTTCTTTAATGTCTATGTGTTTAATAACTATGTGATTGGTAATAAAGGGTGTACAGCATGCTTTGTTCTGCATTGTTCCCTTGTGGACTCTAAGTTCCCTGTGACAATCAATAATTATCTGGCTTCTTATTTTTATTGTTTGTATAGCAGACCCTTTAACCATCAAACTTGTTTATTTCTCAAACAGGCTTAATGGAATTTTATGTGTGTCTGCACAGTTTTATATGAATAATTAGCTAGCAAAAAATAAAATTGAGGGGCAAACAAAAACCAAATTAACACTTTTACAGGGCAACATTTTGCCATGTGCTCTAAGTACCACCTTTGTCCATTAGATCCCAGAAACCCTTTTAGAGCCAGCCCAGGTTTTATGTTTTTCTGTATTCACCTGCCTAAGTGTTACTTTCAGAGAAACAGAGATACATTTGGGTAAAAAAGAGATACATATAGGTCTATTTAGTCACAAATTGCACCACCACATTGCTGTGTTTAACTATTTTCTAATGTTTGTTGGTTAAAGGAGGACTGTTAGCAACCTAACCACAAAGCTTTGTGTAGTGGCTGTTGTCTAGAGTTTGTAGGCACTGCCCTGGTTTTCTGTCAAACTGTTTAGAGTGGTTTGACAAATAACATGTCTCTCCATGGCACCTGGTGATAGCTTATTCCCTAACCACATCAGTAATACTGAATTAACACAATTTTGTCCAACCTGGATAGTATCGACTGACCGATAGTACTGCGTCAAGCTAAAGGTGTTAGCACTATTTTGCCATCTTCACTAATACAGTTTTAAAAATCCCACAAAAAAAAGTTTTATGGTTTTACATTTGGATTAGTTTAACTTTTTAAAACATCAACATATAGAATTACGTATAAAGGGGATATTTTAGTCTTTTTTTTTTTTTTAAAGAGGGTCTTATGGGAGGACATATTATGTCAGAGGTAAGGATATGTGTATGTATATATATATATATATATATATATATATATATATATATATATATATACAATACCAAACAATTTTGCACTCCAGCTATCCTTGAAATGTTGCCTGGTGCTCGGCTGCACAATAAATAGATGAATGAAAAAAAACAGCACTCTAGGTCTTGCAAAAAAACGTCTCAGGTTTATTCCAACAATTAGTCAACGTTTCAGTTCTATCAGAACTTTCCTCAGGACATAAAAATTTTACTGAAACGTTGACTAATTGTTGGAATAAACCTGAGAAGTTTTTTTGCAAGACCTAGAGTGCTAGCTTTTTTCATTCATATATATGGTCGATTTTTGTATACACTTTATGGATTAATAAAGCACCATTTTTTCATCTTTATGAAGACCTGTGAGTGCATCCCGTTTTTCTGATTTCCTTATATATTTGACGCCAGTGGATACAGCACCCAGGCAAGATATCTTTATTGCAATTATAAGGAGAGTGCCAAGCTTTCACTTTTTCAATATATATATATATATATATATATATATATATAATTTTATTTAATAAAAACATTTTTTTGCGTTCTGCTATTGAAAGCAGAACATATGCGTTTTAAAAGAAAAATCAGAAAAGCACATAAAACTACATAAGTTGTTTCAATCTCACAGAGAGCTCATTCAAGAGCACATGTATGATATTGCCTTTTAGCTTATGTACGCATTGCATATTTAATATCAAATCAATCATTCACTAATGCTAAAGAGTCCTTTATGGTTGTATTTATTTAATGCTTACTAATTTTTTCTTCTATATAGTACTTGTTCAGCAGGGAAGTGGTCCTGCAATAACTTGCCATGTCCATCAACCTGCTCCATTAAAGGTGGATCTCACATTACCACTTATGACCAAACACCGTATAACATTTTTGGAGACTGTAACTATGTGCTGTCTAAGGTAAGGTAACATAATTATATGATAATTCTTTCAAGGTTATTTACTAAAGTGAGAATGCAAAGTGAAAGAAAGTGAATATTAAATTTAAAGGGAAACTATAGTAGTGCCAGGAAAACAAATTTGTTTTCCTGGCACTATAGCTTCCCCCTCCGTCAAGCCTCCCCCCTCCTCCCCCTCTCTCGTGGTGCAGAAGAGCTTAATAACCCCTTCTGTTACTTAACTGGGTCCAGCACAGATGTCCCTGGGAAACGGTTCAGGTCTGCTTGCATCAGCAGGGGAACCTAATGCACATGCGCGCCTTTGGCCGCGCTCGCATTAGGATTTTACCATAGGAAAGCATTATTCAATGCTTTCCTATAGGGATTCCGGTGATGCTGGAAGTCTTTATGCATAGTAAAAGTCACCTAAAGCCCCTGAAGTCCTTTTAGTGGCTGTCAGGTTAACAGCCCCCAGAGGAGGAGTTAACCCTAGCAGGTAATTATTGTATCAGGGTAAAGGGCAATGAGACACTGCACCCAGACCACTTCAGTGGGCTGGGTGCTTACAGTGTCCTTTTAAGGTCAAAATAGCTGAACTGGAAAAAAATCTCTAAGTCCTCGATGCTTTCAAACAGGCTATCCTGGCCTTTAATGGTATACTCCAGAACCATGAAGCACTTCAGCTTGCTGAAGTACTTTATGTGTGTGTTCTCTCTCTTTTTCATTTTACAAAAAGTGCAGATTTCAATAGTACTTGGTACTTTTAGAAATCATTTTTTTAAATCTTTCTGCTGTCAATCAGAGACCCGTGCTGTTACTTCCTGGTTGTTTAGCTCAGTGAAACTATACTCAAGAAGCAGGCAATTAATCAGAGCACCTGCTTGCAAAGACTTGTCATTGAGCTGCATTAGAAAGTCTGTGATAGGACAGCTTGTACAGTCCTTAGAGAAGAAAAAATGCATGCATGATTTCATTGGGGGTTTCTATAACTTGAAATTCACTTTGAGTTCTCACGTTAGTAAATAAACCTGTCAGTGGTACAAATAATAAAGTAACATAGCAAGGGAGAAAAAGATATTAGGTAATATAACTAAATGTGTTTGGTCTGTATAATATGTTATTATTATTATTATTATTATTATCATTCTCACACAGGACTGCAATGGCCATGATTTTACTATTTTGGCAGAGCTGCTTAAATGTGGTCTTACAGATACAGAGACCTGCCTTAAGGGCGTTACTTTAATGCTTAATGGAGAAAAAACGGTTAGTATTCATAATTAAACTTTGAAAGTTTTGATTATATGTTATACGTTGTATATTAAAAATAGAAAAGTAAGACATTATTTTATATGTGAAGAGTACAGAAGTTTGGCCTAATGGATAGATAGCTAGATAGATAGATAGACTTTTAGATTGTAAGCTCATGGGCTATCTAGCTAAGCACTTTGTATATAAAAGCTTAAATGGCTAGATCTCAGCTTATGGGCAGGGCCCTCTCTACCTTTTGTATTTGTCTGTGTATATTTTATGTCCTCCACTAATTGTACAGCGCTGCGGAATCTGGCGCTTTATAAATACCAGTAATAAAATTAATAGATAGATAGATATAACATTTATTGTGTAGTATTTTCTTTGCAAAGTTAAAATTTCAATAACACATCCAAAAAAGATTTTCTAAAATATAATGATTGAAATACTTTATATTTTAAAATTGTTTAATAGAAATGAAAGCAAGCTTGCTAGAAATTAATATATATATCAGTATATCAATTGCTTAATTAATATGCTAGAATGAGGCAATATTGCCAAATCAAGGTTTTTTTTTTTTTAGTTAACTATGTATAGTGCACCAATAAAAAATAATCAGACTGAAAATGTTTACCAAAATAGTTAAACTATGTAAGTGTTATCATTTAAAGGTACACTGTAACACTGTGCCTGCTTATCTCACTGAAGTGGTTATAGTGTCTGGAGTACCTTAGCGTCATCCTTCCATGAAGCATTAAATTGTTTTTAAAGGGACACTATAGTCACCAGAACAACTACAGCTTATTTTATTTGTTCTGGTGAGTAGAATCATTCCCTTCAGGCTTTTTGCAGTAAACACTGTCTTGTCAAGGAAAATACAGTGTTTACATTATAGCCTAGTGGTAACTCCGCTGGCCACTCCTCAGATGGCTACTAGAGGTGCTTCCTGGGGCAGTGCTGCACGCTGTGCAGTACTGCCATTCAGTGTCTCCACCCTCTACATGGAGACACTGAACTTTTATCATATACATGAATTGATTCAATATATCTCTGTGAGGAGATGCTGATTGGCCAGGGCTATGTTTGACTTGTGCTAGCTCTGCCCCTGATCTGCCTCATTGACAGTATCAGCCAATCCTATGGGGAAGCAGTGTGATTGGCTCAGACCACCGCTTATGATAATGTCCACAGACAGCCGGCAGATCAGGTGCAGTGGCAGCAGCTGCAGACTTGAATACAAGTAAGATTTTACTATATTTAGGGAGGGCCAGGGGACAAGATGCTGGTTTCAACACTATAAATTCAGGAAAACATGTTTGGGCTATAAGAAAGCATCTGACCACTTTCAGCCTATTAACCAATTTGTATTGATGATACAAATTGGTTTGACTAGAAAGAAGTATATAATCTCCGCCTTTGCAACGCTTCCAGTAGGATGAATAGAGACCCTTATTTAGTGTTAAACTGTTCAAAAAGTTTTTAATATTGAATGAATGCACCAGAGGATTCCAGGCACTATAACCAATTAATTGAGATGAAACAGTTATACTGCTTACAGTGTCCCTTTAATCATCTTGAGCCATATTATCGCAAACAGGCTCTCCGTTATCAAACTCAATGTTATGCAATTGATATCGTAATACTTCTGTTGTGGCCATGGGAGGATTATTGATAAAACGTGTTAGATAGTTTTGTAGAATATTAAAAAGCTGTGTTAAGAAAAAAAGTTTTACTCCGCTTTTATTAATATCACTAGATATAGAAAACCTACCTTAGTACTTTCAGTAACTAAGGACATTATGTTCGTGTGTTGCTACATTTTCTCATTTAGTTTATTTTAAAATGTTTTTTTGTTTTGTGTTTTAACTTAGCCAAAATATATTTAATCAAGTCTGTCTTCAAATAATAAAACATTTGGGGTTTTTATCTAAATGTTCTTCTTTTGGTTTGTCTTAAAATATATGTAAATCTTTTTTATATAAATGGTTATACACGTCAATGGTAAATGCATGTGCATTTTTCATTGTCATGCCATATCTCATTCCAAATTTCATTTCTCCATCAGATTGTTGTAATCAAACCATGTGGAAGTGTGTATGTGAACAATATCTACACACAACTGCCTTTTTCTGCAGGTATTCATCTTTTCATAATTTGTAAACTAGTTTTAGAGTATTATACTTTAAGTGATTGATGCAGCAAATACAATTTCCATCAAATGTTAGGGTATTTTGCCCATCTCTATTCCCACCCAACCCAAAAACCTTATCACCAGTCTTTGGCCTACACAAAAGTGTAGGACATCTTATTCCCATTCATTATACAGTTGCAAGAAAAAGTATGTGAACCCCTTGAAATGATATGGATTTCTGCACAAATTGGTCATAAAATGTGATCTCATCATCATTTAAGTCACAACAATAGACAATCACAGTCTGCTTAAACTAATAACACACAAAGAATGAAATGTTGCCATGGTTTTATTGAACACACCATGTAAACATTCACAGTGCAGGTGTCTATTGTTGTGACTTAGATGATGATCAGATCACATTTTATGACCAATTTGTGCAGAAATCCATATCATTCCAAAGGGTTCACATACTTTTTCTTGCAACTGTAGATCAGCATAGAAGTGATATCGAAGCCAAAGGAGCACCAGGAGAGAGCAATATCTCGTAGACCGAGATTACGGAGGATGAGAAGAAACTGTTGATGATCAACAGTATCAAAAGCAGTGGAAAGGTCAAGGAGAATTAGGATAGAATAGTGACCATGAGATTTTGCATGGAGTAGATCGTTTTATACTTTGTCAGAGCCGTTCCCAGAGTGCTGAGCGCAAGAAACCAGATTGAAGTGGGTCGAGCAGAGAGTTGGACTTGAGGAATTCTGTCAATCTCACATACACAAGTCTTTCAAGGATCTTTGACGCAAAAGGCAGTAGCGAGACAAACAGAGCTGTATGTATATGTTGTTTACAAATTAGTTTTATATTTCATTTAGCCTAATTATTCTACCTTTAATTCCAGCCAACATCACCATCTTCAGACCAACCTCATTCTACATTGTCCTTGAGACTAATTTGGGAATCCAGATAATGGTTCAACTCATTCCTTTAATGCAGGTCTACGTGACCCTAGACCCTTCTTTAAAGACTAAAACATGCGGTAAGAATACTTTATTTGAGTCCATCCTTTTTTCCATATAAAGTCCTTGTTGTAGGTAATTTAAAACCATATTGTATTATTTTAGGTCTCTGTGGAAACTTCAATGACAAGCAGACTGATGATTTTCAGACCATTAATGGTGTAATAGAGGGAACTGCTGCATCCTTTGCAAATACATGGAAGACCCAAGCATCCTGTCCAAACATCAAGAATATTTATGAAGATCCATGTTCTCTCAGTGTAGAAAATGGTAATTTACAAACTGAAGAAGATTTACTTTGTTATTAATTAATGTGTTATCTTTTCACAATGCTTGCACATATTCACCTGCAATTATGAAATTAATGTCCTCATTCAGAAATATTGGTAAGTAGTGTCAAATGTGGCATCCAACTAAAGCCTCAGTTCATTTTCATTAAACTGTAAAAAAAAAAAAAAGTTTCAAATGATTTATCTAGAGAAGTCTATGGGGATTGTTTTTAGATAATCCAAGTGTGATCATTGTGATAACTGTAATAACTTGATAAGCTTATCTAAAAATATTAAATCAAGGTCTAGGTTTCGGAGCTACTTTAAATCAAGGCCTACGTTTTGGATCTACTTTATACACATTGAATAAAACATTCTCCAACATTTTGTATATCTGAAAAATAGATCTATTTATTTATGGTATTTCCTTTTAAACAGAGATCTATGCCCAGCACTGGTGTGCTCTTCTTGATGATCCGGCAGGTCCGTTTGCTGATTGCCACTCCCATGTGAATCCTGATGTTTACATTCATGTAAGTAAAATACACTTTTGATAACATCAGGAATGCCCGGAATATAATTGTATTTGTATTTTAAAAAAAATATTTAATCAATAATGGGAAATCGGCTTCCAATCTGAATTTTTGTCACCAAAAATTTACTTTATCTTATCTGCTCCTAAATAGCTCACTGTGTCTAAATTGTTGTTTTGTTTTTTTCCTGAGTATAAGACATTTAAAAGTCAAGTTGCCAAAATGCAACAAGCTAAATCAAGGTTCTGTACAGTTGCCAATCACATTTACCCACATCCCATCAGCAATCTTACAGAAGGTCACACAAGAGGCAATGGGCAGAGCAGACATGATGGGCAGAGGAGAACAAAATGGTCGGGCCAGATTATAAGAACCAGCATAAGTGAGAAGATATAATAAATATATAAAATAAGGCGAATGGTAATTTGGGAGGTTAATCAATAAGATACAAAAGGCATAATGAAAGGAAAACTAAAAGAAACAAAGGACAGAGCTATGTTAATATCATGAAACCTGACATTTAGGATTTGCTCTCAAATGTTGATGTTAGATAACTATAATCTTTATTTTTAGTTTGAAAGAAGTAAAAGCTATTTTCTCTTTCTTAGAACTGTGTGTTTGATACCTGCAATTGTAAGAAAAGTGAAGACTGCATGTGCGCTGCTCTATCCTCATATGTCCATGCATGCGCTGCCAAAGGAATCATACTTACCGGATGGAGATCCAATGTCTGTTGTAAGTAAAGGGAATTATAAAGTTTATAATTTTATGTGTTTCTTTGTACCATATTTAATGTGGAAATCCATTCAGAAGGCTCACCTCTAGATTGATATTCTGAAAGAACAATATAGATAACTAATGTAATGTCCTTAATTTTATATCATTTGATATCTGTTTGTCTGAACACAAACTTTTTAAGAAAAAGAAAAGTTTGATACATAACTTTAAACTTTCTTTTCCTAGCTCAATACATGAACACCTGCCCAAAAACATTAAACTACACCTACTCTGTTACAACCTGCCAACCCACATGTCGCTCACTCAGTGAACCTGATGTTACCTGCAATATACAATTTGTTCCTGTGGACGGCTGTACCTGCACTGAGGGTTACTACATAGATGACAGTGGTAAATGCATATCGGCTGCTGCTTGCCCGTGTTACTACCGGGGCTCTGTTGTACCTTCGGGAGAAGTTGTGCATGACAATGGAATTCAGTGGTGAGTAGATACGAAAATTACAATGTTAAACTATGTGCTTAACTGGCTGATATAAAGAAAAAAACAAGTGCTGCTAATAAACCCCATACATTGGCTTTTAAAATTATTTAATATTATACAAAATATAATTTAATTATTTGGATATTTTTGGCATATTGATTTATTATATATACCAGGTTCCCCTGTGGTTATGGTATCTGCACATGTCCCATGTCTTCTATATGGCCCTCTGGTATTTCATTCCCTGCAGCCCTGATCATTACCCATTCTTGATTATCAGTCACATCAGCATATCTAGTCCAAACAGCAATACAATGCTTCTTCTGTATAACTTAGTTAGGTGGAACATTATTGGCATACAGCTTGATGCCATCCATGTAGAGGATGTGGATGATTGTAGCTCCGCTCTTGAACCTGTATCCATGTCCATCCTTGATGATCTGACTTAGGCGGTTAAGGCCTGTAAAGAACAGTATCGACTTGGTAAATGCCACATTTCATGTGTGCTTGAGTGATTGCCCTTCTGTACATTTCTAGTGTTGTTATCCACTTGCCCATATATATATTATATTTTAATATTTTGAAAAAACAACAACTTTAAAAGTGTATCTAAAAATCTAAAATGATTAGGAAAGCTTTAGCAAAAATATTAAATTGAAGCCATTGTTAGCTAAAAAGATATTAGATTATGTATTCCATTGAAGAAAAAAAGAAAAGAAAAGAAGAATCATCTGTTTACAGTAAATTAATATCTGTTTAATCTTTGTCCAATAAGGCGTAATACGGTTTCCTTGCAGAGCTAAGTGCTTAAAATATTAAACATCCTGAACAGTATCAATTTATTTAGCTCTAAATATTTCATTTTGCAAACATGCACTGTTTTTTAAATGGGTAAACTCCCAGGAAGCAAATGAAGCATCCATATGTTTTATAATTTATTATTGTACTTTTTTTTTACAGCACATGTAACCAGGGGGCGTTGAGCTGTATTGGAGCTCCAGGGAAAGGTAATTTAAAAATGTCCTTTTTTTAACAAGAATTAAATTTCTGTTATAATGTTACCTGCATAGCATTTTTTTTATATTTATAATAATAAATCCAATCACCCTTCTGTGTCTCCTTCCTAGAGTGCCCAGATCAAATGATTTATTTTGACTGCAAAACTGCATCCTTTGGCACAAGAGGAGCTGAATGTCAGAAGAGTTGCCAAACATTGGATATGGAATGTGTAAGCGTTTTACTTGTAGACTAGGAGACTAGGCTTCTCATGTGCACTTTTAACTTAATTTCTAGTTCCTCATTTTAGTATTTTTTCACCTTCCTTTGTTCTCTATTGTTAATTGCATGGTCACTGGATATTGCATCATCCACAACCACTGCAATATCCCATTGATGTCCACTACTATGATCTCTGGCTGCTTGTCCAGTACTTGTTTGTCCATTTAGATTTGGGATACCCACAAGATCTTAGCCCTGTCCTTCACAACTACCATTTGTGACACATTTCATCTAGACCTGCGTCCAGACCATATTCAGTGAAGATGTTTCTATTCAAATGTTTTGCACAGTGGTTGTGCTTCACAGTACATCTGTCCTTTCTAGCACATTACACATGGCTATATATGCTGGATTGTCTTTGAGACCTCTTTGCACAGATTGCACCATGGGTCCTAATTATTATGATAAACCCCCATGCAGGGCTGGCGCTACCATAAGGCGGCACAAGCGGCCGCCTTAGTACGCACCAACCCGAGGGATGCAAAAATGTTTGAGAGACTGGTGGGAGCACGCAGAACTCGGCTCTCGCCGGTCACTTTCTGCAAAAATGTACTCAGCTGGCTGTGTGTTTGGGGTTCAGCCACTGAGGGAGATGGGTGGAGCAGTGAAGATCGACCGCAGCCAATCTCTTCATGAGCTAAAGGCACATCATATCCCAGCGGCAGGGCCAGACATGCCCAGGCATGCCCACTGGGATCCTGAGAAATTTCAGGCTGCACTGCTCAATTACAAGGTGACCGGCAGGAGGGGATGCGCTCGCCTCCTGCTGGTCACAGAATGTAGCATAGCCAAGCAGGCAGACTGTGGTAGAGGAGCTTCTGTTCCCCTACCTGGTCTGACAGGAAGTGCTCACAGAGAGCACTGCTTCCTGTCAGACCGGGTACAGTGAGCAGGAGCTCCTCCACCACGGTCTGCCTGCTCAGTCACGCTACACCATGGTACAGGGAGAGATGGGGAGGGAGGAAACTAATGGGACACAGGGAGAGCTGGGGGGACTAATGGGACACAGGTAGAGCTGGGGCGTACAGGCTGAAAGGGCAGGAACACTAACACACCAAAATGTGGGGATGCTGGGCAAACTTGTCTTCCCCTTGAGACACAGACACCAGGACAGGTGCAAGACACTATAAAACACACTGACACATTTCCTTAATGACAGATAGCTGCATACCTCCTCAGAGGGGGCTTATAAGATATGCAACGATTCTATATCTATATGTATGCCCACAAAGGGGTTTTATAACTTCAAGGGCATAACCATAATGGCTCGCAGGCCCTGTTCCACAACCCCCCTCTCAGGGTCATGTACAGACATATAGTCAAATGCGACATTATGCCTGCTTAAAATAACAAGTTCATATAAGAGCACACAATTACCACATGGATATTTTAGGCAGATAACCCAGTACAGAGATGAAACTAGCTCCACTCCATTTCAGCAACAGGGCATTAGGCACAAAACAATGGTTAAAGCCTCATCCTGCACTCATACATTGAGGAGAGAGAACACGTAGAACATGTATATATGATAACGAGATTGGGCGACTGCTAAGATTGAAACGGCCCCCAAGCTATGGAACAGCGGCACAGTGCAGCACTAGTCATTGCTGTTGTGCATCAGGAGGGCTCTTCTTCTTACTATGCCAACCCAAGGTACTGGAGCACAATATCTGTATAGAGTGGACCTTTGTAAGGCAAAATGGGTATCCCAACTTCAACCAACCCCCCCAGAACCGTTCACACACACAGGTTATGCCATGCTGATGACACAATGTGTAATGTACAATCTTTATACAGGCTGCATACGAACTGTGATTTATGCTAACTGCGATTTATCCTTGTTTGCCCTATGTGACAGCTCTGCACATGGCGATTTCACCTAAATGTTCATTGGTGATACAATGTGTCCCACCTCCCCACTTTTTTTCTTTTCTGTACCCCCTTTTGATGTTCATATAATCTATGATAATCTCAATAAAAACAAGAAATTGGGGGGGGAAAGGACAACGTTCTTTATATCATGTGTGTATATATATATATATATATATATATATATATTTATATATATGGGATATTTTTGTCTTACTAGAGTAATATTCAGATTTCATTCTGAGTGTCTGATATGTCTTTTCAAATGTTGTTTTCTATAGTACAGCACCACATGTGTCTCTGGCTGTGTGTGTCCTGAAGGGTTGGTGTTAGATAGAAACGGATATTGCATTGCAGAAGAGAATTGCCCTTGCATTCACAATGAGGGCACTTATCCACCAGGGGATACAATCAAAATAAAATGCAACAACTGGTATGTTTTATTATGCTAAATAATCTGAATTAATAAAGTAATATTATATATTGTATATAATATGTATGTATTTACCCTGCAATGTAGCTGTCTCCTGTTGCTTCTGTTGTTTTGTAAATGGCTGTAATTGGATCACTACAACAATGCAGTTGGGTATACTAGAATGTAAGAATGTAAGCTCATTGAGCAGGGCCCTCCACCTCTCTGTTCCTGTACGTCCAGTTGTCTGGTTACAATTACATGTCTGTTTGTCCACCCATTGTACAGCACTATGGAATCTGATGGCGCTATATAAATAATAAAATAATAATAATAATGTAACAACTGCTTTTTGTAAAGGTATAGAGAGTACAATTACATTGTCCTACCATCAGCTGGACTGTGGGAGGCATGTGTTTCTCATGCTCTGTTCCTCCTTTTGTTTTTTTTCAACTCGCAGTTTCAGTTATCTGAATTTATTTTCCCATGGACATAATTGAACAATGAGTATGTTTTGTTCTTTTTCATCAGCTAGTTGGCATTATTTGTCCATGTAATTTGATATGGACTTATCTTGTGAATTTCATCCCTTAAAATAGGGGTCTCTGTTTTGGCATACTCAATTTAAGCTTTTCAAATGATTTAATGTTTTCGGATAACATTTTAATATATATATATATTTTTCACAATATTAAAATATCAAAAATATACCATACATAAAAATATAGTAAAATATTAAAACACTTTTCAAAATTATTAAATAATTTGAAAAGCTTATTGAAAAATATTAAGCCAAGGCCTAGGTAAGCAAACAATGCAAACCAGTGCTATTTTATAGTGCCAATGTGTGATCATTTCCATTAGTTACCTTATTTTTATGAGGAATATGTGAAATGTATACAATTAAAAATATTAAAATATGGATAAATGTATACAAAAAGAATATGTAATTTAAAAAAATTCTTCTTTGCTCAAAAGTCATATCTGTAATATCTTTTGGAAAAAACTGTGCAAAATAGTTTCTAAATAATATGTCTAATTCTATGTTTCCTCCAAAGTACTTGCAAAGGCAGGATGTGGGAATGTACCAATGAACCATGCCTTGGAACTTGCACTGTTTATGGTGATGGCCACTATATCACTTTTGATGGAAAACGCTACAGTTTTAATGGAGATTGTGAATATACACTTGCTGAGGTATAACATTAAAAAAAAATCATATTTTAGGGAGTGTGTCGATTCATAGATGTAAAAAGCTTAATACAGACTTTGAAACTTTTTTTCTGAACTCCTATTTTTTTTCAGGATCACTGTGGTAAAGGTGAGAGCACTTTCCGGGTTATCACTGAAAACATTCCATGTGGAACCACTGGTACAACTTGCTCTAAAGCAATCAAGGTCTTCCTCCATGTAAGCAAAACTAATTATATGCTCATAAGGTTGGCAATATATAATTTAGCTTACATAAACTTTGATTTCATATTTTTTAAAACATTTTTAAACTGACTTAATATTTTGGAACTATTTTACTATTGTATGTTATATGTCAATATATTGTTCAATTTTTTTTGATATTTTAATATTTACAAAATAATAATTTTAAAAGTTTATACAAACTTAAAAATATTTGAAAAGCTTTTCCAAAAATATTAAATTTGTATATAATTGTTATTTGTATATTTAATTGCCCAGATGGTCATGTAAAAACTATTTGAATATAATAATTTTTTTGATCTCCGATTAAACAAGTATATTTTATTGCATTGAAATGGGGTAATATTCTTTTCTAATCTCAAAGAATCAAAAGGTTGTTCATTTGTGTTCTAAAAGTGTCCTTCTAATTGCCATAATCTATATTCAAAACATTAAATACTAGCCAAATCCTGAAAATTTCTTAAGAACTCCCTTGTGAAATATAATGGCTAAATCACAGATTCACCCCTTTTTTGTCACTCGGCACTGCTAATTATCATTCTCAAGAACTTTTCAAAAGCACACCATCTTTATGAAGCAGCCTACCTAGTTCAATTACACTTCAGTCCTTTAAGAAATCTTTCAAGGCTTAACATTGTAGTAAAGCTTTCTATTTCTCTTAGCAACTTAGAAAAAGTTCTAAATGATTTTTCTAGAAAAACTCCCATAAACTTTAAGAGAGACTTCTGAAATAAATCATTTGGAGTGTTTTTTTTTGTAAAAATATTGAATAATTTGGGATGCTTATTAAATTGAGGCCATAGTCCCTTCCACTCTATAACTTCCCCCCATACTTCTTCTTTTATCACTTAAAATGATTTACACATAACAATCTAATCCCCTTTTGAAAAAAAAAAGAATATATTTTTTTTTTATTGTGCTATCACGGCATCAGGGGGGTACAGTCCGGGCCCCATACTCTGGCTGTGCACATACATATAACAAGTATCCCTATATATACGGTATATATATATATATATATATATATATATATATGCAAGCATGTATAGTGATGAAGGGGCCCAGGAGACTCTAACTTACACATATGGCAGAGCATTGCCATGTGTTACCACAGCAACACTTTGATGCTGCACACATGCTGGGGCTCACAAGAGAGAGAGGACCTGCCACTTGTCGGAGGTGTAAGATGGAGTCACTTGGGCCCACTCTACAGTATAGAAGCCAGCACACTTACTGCACCACTGGACTACCAAGAAATGCAATGTCCCCCTTCCCTGGCCACAGGTAAGGTGCAGAGAGAGAAAATAAATTATCCTACCCCACAAATGCACACACACACTACATCCACTACACAAACACACATTGCAGTCACTACACAAATACACACTGCATCTACTAAACATCCTCTTTACACAGATACACACTACATCCACTTAACATGCACACTGCATTCACTATACACATACATAATACAACTACTTTATGCACAAATACACACACTGTATGCACTTTACACACACTGTTTCCATTATGCATAAACACTGCATTCACCATACACACAATACATCCACTTTACTCACACATACACTGCATCTGTTATAGATGCATCTATTACACACTGCATCCATTTCACACACTGTGCATAAACTGAACACACAAACACTGCATCCTTGTGGGTGGACATGGGTGGGCCCTCTGGGGGACTCAGGGGTGGACCCTGTGAGCAGAATCAGGGGTGGATCCCCCATGCCTAGGCCTTGAGCTGTGTAAGATGCTCCAAATTTTCTGATGGTAGCCCTATGTGTTATTATACCTCACCTAATCTAAATTGTAAGTTTGTTTCAGCAGGGCCCTCTTCAACTTTTGCTCTAACAATAGGAAAATATGTTGTTGCTATATAAGTAATGATAACAATTCTATATTCCTATTTAGAGTTATGAGATAATCCTTACCAATAAGAAAGTTGAAGTTGTTGAACGAGGTTTTGAAGGTAAAGTTCCTTACAAAGTTAGGCACATGGGTATCTATCTTGTCATTGAGGCTGACAATGGACTTATCTTAATGTGGGATCAAAGGACAAGTATTTTCATCAAGCTCAGCAGCAATTATGAGGTAAGCAGAGTGTGAGTAATATTGATCTGCAAAAATATGACGAGTTTGAAAATCCAAAGAGATTTTCTTCTATGTAAAATTACATAAAATAGCATCCATCCTTCAAACTGGCAATGTCTGCATATGTTAGTATACTGAAAATACGTAAATATTGTGTAAAAAAAAATACATTATATACAAATGATTCAGAATATTCTGCTTGTAGCATGTGTCAATTGCTTTTTTCCATTAAAGTCATGTTTTGCAATCTGTATATATTTACACAGGACTTATATAATTAAGATCAGGACACACTTACATTTGTGAAATTTTTAATCCTGAGCTAGAAGGTAACTTTTAAGGACATCAAGAACACCTAAATCCACATGAAATAAATTACGGAGTTATATGCTGTCCCGCATTCAATGGACATTAAAGCCATTGTGGCGGCATTGAACACCATAACAGCTTTTAGCCCTAGAGCCGCCGGGATACCTAACTTCCCGGCGCTCCCAGGAGGACTGCCTGACAGCCCAGGCAGTCCTCCGATGGCAAATGAGGCCCCTGTAATCCTAATGTAATTTCTCACACTTTTTTAGATTATATTCATAATAAATTATTATGTATGTATAAATAGTTGATGTGAAATAAAAGCCCTGTTTCTCCTGAACAAAATTATATATAATAAGTGTGAGTGCACTTAATATGAAAGAGGTGAATTACGATTGAACAGACATAAAGCGTAAATTCCAGTTTTTGTTTACATTTTATTTTGATTAGAATGATTGCTAAAAAAAAACAAAATCATAAAGTTCACACCTAATGAGTTTGCATTGATGCCTTAACATGAAAAACTTCAAAGATTTTTAAAGTTTAATTCACCAGTTTAGACCTTTGAACTCAAGTTTGCTAGGCTGTGTCCAAACATTTAATTTTGGTAAAAGTTAGAGCTTAGTAAATACAGCAATCTATATATATATATATATATATATATATATATATATATTATATATATATATATATTATATATATATATTTAAGTTTACATCATACCTCTATTAAAGTTCTAATTTATTACAAAAACAAGAGGTTAATGACTATTAAAAATAATTTAATATATCATGTCATTAGGGTGATTAAATTAACTTGGTATATTTTATTCTAAGGGGACTGTGTGTGGTCTCTGTGGTAATTATGATGGAGATAGGAACAATGACTTTACCACCAGGAGTATGTCTGTTGTTGAAGATGTAATTGAGTTTGGCAACAGCTGGAAATTCTCCCCAACATGTCCTGATGCCAAAGTACCCAAAGATGCATGCTCAGCTAACCCATACAGGAAATCATGGGCTCAGAAACAGTGCAGTATCATCAACAGTCTAACGTTTTCTGCCTGCCACCCTCAGGTGTGTATTTTTATTCTTTGGCATGCTGCAGATAACTAAAACTGGTCAAAATAAAGGTTCTTTATTTTATCAGTTTTATAAGTATTTTTTCATAGTTTGTATATATGGTGATATGTTCCGGAATAACAACTCTCTGTATTTGGACAGGTTGATCCATCAATGTACTATGATGCTTGTGTTACTGACTCATGTGCTTGTGACACTGGTGGAGACTGTGAGTGTTTCTGTACAGCTGTTGCTGCGTATGCAAAGGCATGTGGAGAATCTGGTGTCTGCATTTCCTGGAGAACCCCAGATATCTGTCGTGAGTATCTCATAAGAGTTTTTTTTTTATATATTCCTCCATTTTACATAATCCTAGATTAACATCTTATTGAAAACTTATAGTTAAAGAAATCCGTCACACTGATTAATTTTGACTATATTTTTGTAAACTTTTTTCTTTTTCTGTAGCTGTATTTTGTGATTACTATAATCCAGAAGGAGAATGTGATTGGCACTACAAACCATGTGGGCCTCCATGCATGAAGACCTACTGTAATCCAAGTGGGACATGCCTTCATGAGCTCTTGGGTTTAGAAGGTAACAAATCATAATTATATTATGTACTACTTGTTTTTTATGGCATGTTCTATCTCTAAAAATCTCATGGTCCTTATTTCTGTGTCTTTTTTGTTACTGTCAACTATAAAACTGAATAGTTTTCATTTTGTTCATATTTAAAACTACTTAAAATTATGCACCTTTCCAAATAGGTTGTTATCCCAGTTGTCCAGAAAGTAAACCATATTTTAAGGAGGATGAAATGAAATGCGTCGAACAACATGGCTGCGGTGATGATGACGGCAATTGCTACACAATTGGGTCTCCAGTACCCACCAAGACCAACTGTCAGTCCTGGTAAGACACATGACTGCATTTCTATTAAAGATAGAATTATATTTTCTGTATTGGACATTTTATGATATAAGCAGAGTTTTTGTTTATTAAAAGTTATTTTTTTTTATAATTTATTTTGCATTTCCCATGTTCTTAAAGGAACATTCCCAACCTGTAAAGCACTTCACGGGAAATGGAGTTCATAGAATGTCCCCCTTTCTTTCTCACTTCATAAAAGTGCTGATTTCAAGAGAAAGTAAAACTTGTATTAAGTTTCTGGGTTGCACCCAGGCTGCCACCATGTAATGGCAATCATGATGGTTGTCATGGGCCCAGAAATCCTGGGGAGTCCCAGGCCCCACATTCCTTATGAGCACATAAATATAGTGAATGTCACTATACACATGTGCACCTTTAGGCCCCTGGCTACCTGTAGGAGAGGGGCCCAGCACACTTAAATATCTTCACTTTACAGCAGCTCTTCTCTGTGTCTCTCTAACTCTCTTAAGCCTTTCTCAAGCTTTCTTAAACACTACATCCACTACACAAACACACACTCTGCATTCACTTTACACATACAACATTTACTATACAAACACACGCTCTGCATCTACTACACAAATACTACATCCATTACACAAGCACACACTCTGCATCCACTACACAGACACTGCATTCACTACACACACTGCATCTAATATACACAAGCATTACATCCAATACACAAATACAAACTCAGCATTCACTATACACACGCTAGATCCACTACACAAATACATACTCTGCATTCACTATACATACACTATATCCACTACACAAATACACACTATGAATTTACTATACACACACTATACATTTACTACACAAACACACAATCTGCATGCATTATTGCATGTATTATACACACACTACATCCAATACACAAACACACTCTCTGCATTCACGATACACATACTGCATCCACTATGCAAGCACACACTCTGCATTCACTATACACACACTACATCTAAACACACTGCATCTAATACACACAAACACTACATCCATTACACAAACACATACTCTGCATTCTCTGCATGCAGACATGGCATCCACTACACACATACACTGTGTCTAACATATGAAAACACTACATCCACTACACAAACACACACACTGCATTCACTATACACACTACAGCATCTACTATACAAACACACGTTCTGCATTCACTATACACACACTACATCCACCACACAAACACACACACTACACAAACACACACTCTGCATCCACTACACATACTGCATATAATTCACATAAACACTACATCCATTACAAAAACATACACTTTGCAACCACTTTACACACTGCGTTCATTACACATGCACTGCATCCACTTTACACACACAGTCTGCATCCACTTTACACATGAACAATGCATCCACTTTACACACACACTGCATCCACTACACACACTGCATCTTTGTGGGCAAACTCGGAATGGGCTCTGTGGGTGGACTCGGGAGTGGGCCCCCAGGGGCCCAGACCTTGAGCTGTGTCAGGGGCCCTTGGTTGCACCCTTCTATCTAAAAGTTGGGAGGTTGGTTTTCCTCATTCCCCTTACATTCTTACTCAAGGCAGAATGGGTTCTCATAAACGAGCAATTGATTAAATGCGTATCGCTAAAGTCTTTCTATGAGTCACAGATGCACATTGTCTCCCAATTCTTCTCTGTGAGAAGCATTGGATTGGAATTGGATAGGTCATACACACACTATATCCAATACACAAACACACACCCTGTATTCACTTTACACATACACTTTATCCACTACACAAATACACACTATGAATTTACTATACACACACTATACATTCACTACACAAACACACAATCTGCATTTATTATACACACACTACATCCAATACACAAACACACTCTCTGCATTCACGATACACATACTGCATCCACTATGCAAGCACACACTCTGCATTCACTATACACACACCACATCTAAACACACTGCATCTAATACACACAAACACTACATCCATTACACAAACATGTCTAGTGATGATCTCCTATAGAGAGGGGCTGTGACTTGAGACCACTGAGGTATGTAACTTCTATTTTTGCTATCTATTTTAAGGAAGAAGGGGGCAAACTCATTGAAACCATCAGTTTAACACTCTAACATTTTAAATAAAGATATGTTTTATTATTTATAATGCTGGATTATTCCTTTAATACAAATATTGCATATGGAACAGTGTGTGATTGCAAAGCCGCGTGTTGTGCTATATTTTATAATTTATTATTTGCATTTAAAATATATATATTTTTTTGTTCTTTAACAGTTCATGCACAAAGTCTGGTATTCTCTGCGAGCATAATGAGACGGGTAAGATTAAAGTCAGATTTTGATAATATTTCTTAATGTTAATAGGTGGAGATATAACTGGATACATTTCCTTTTCCTATGAGATTTATTTTACAAAATTTTTAAGAGTTATTCAAAGTTCTGAAAGTACGGAAACAATGTGAGAAAGCAGAGTTTGTTAGGTCATTGGCTAAAATGCTTGGTCATAAGGAATCACAAAATAGCACAAAGATGAACCAATCATTCACACACAAGAGTGCACGAATCCTGGCTCTACCCACAACGAGTAGTTATTGAAAATGAAGTAGAAAGATCCAGCACAAATCTTTTACAGTGATCCATTATTGTAGTGCTAAGTAAACAGGTAACATTTTGGCCTGATAAAGGCCAGATCAGGCCGAAACATGACTTGTTTACTCGGCACTAGAATAAAGGATTATGCTGGATTGTTTTTCTTTATTTTGGTCATAAGGAATAGCAACAGCAAGGTCAGCTTTAACCTTAACCTAGTTCTAACTGTAATATAAAATAAATATATTATAAGAGGGTTTTGGAGATGTTTGTGATGTTTCCAAAATACCTTGATGGCTTTAACCCAAAATGTTTTATTTTGATGTATTTTATATATTTCTCTTTCTATCAATAAAATAAAAATAATAATTACAAAAAATAATACATTTGATCAAAAACGATGCAATTGTTTTACTAAACACTTTTTAAAAAAAATTTACAATTTTGTAAAACATAAATTTTTTCATTGCTTTTTTCCTTTATTTGTGACAGACTGCTACTGTGAATACAACAGCAACAAGTACAAATACAATGATGTTATTTACAACACTCCTGATGGAACTGGAGGATGCATCACTGCTGTATGCATGACAAATGGCACAATTTACCGTGATATCTATGCTTGTCCTGCTTCTCCTGCTTCAACACCATTTACCTTTACAACCATTCCTTCCACATTGACCACAGGTAACTTGTGCAAAATGAAACATCGAAATCATTTGGACATCACATACCTTACTGCAAACATTTCAAATAAAGCAAGTACAGTAATGTTAATTAAATACAATGAATGAAAAAAAAATACTTTACAATTTGTAAATGTTCATATAATATTGCTTTCTGCTATGTACTTTTCAAATATTCTGATCGATAATTTATTCAATAATAATAATAGTATAGTAATAATAACAAAAGAAAAGTTAGCTCTACAAACAGGTGAATGATTCTGCTATGTTCTCATTACAACTTGAAGCCCCATGCCATGATAATTATTAAATCTGTCAGTCTTATAAATATTGAATGTAAAATTATCCAAATTGCTTTAAAAAAAAATACTGTACTTTGTGCATTATTCGCTTGGAATCTTTAGAGAAAAGTGGAAATATGTTTACTAATCACAGCCTTGTTTTAATATATGTGGATAAGCTTTTCAAATGTTTTAATATTTCCAAACAAACGTTTATTTTTTTTCTTTAAAATATTAAAATAACAAAACATATTTCATATATATAAAAAATTATATAAAAATATAAAAAATAGTAAAATAAAAATAGTAAAATATTTTTCAGAATACTACATAATTTTAATAGTTTATCCAAAAATATTAAATCATTTGAAAATATTATTAAAAAATATTACAATGAGGCACATAGTAGGCAAACATAATAATTCCATTGATATTTATTGTGCCTTGGCTCAATTTAAAAAAAAAAAAAATCCTAGCAACATTCTGTGGTTATGCCAGTTATATTCCATGCTAGGCTTATATATGTTAAATATTATCTATCAATGGTGTTAATTTGATATTTAAGGATTATCTTATTAGATGATTTCATATTTTTGGATAAATATTCAAGATATTAAAATATCAAAAAGTACATCATATATAGAAAATATATAATTATATCAAAATGTTAAAATATTTGTCAAAATGTTAAATCATTTTAAAGCTTATCCAAAAATACTAAACTGAGGCCAATGATTAATATTTAACACTTTTTAAGTTTGGGGAAACAAAATTCAATTAGCATTTTGTCTCTTCATGATATAGAAATAACACATACTTCTACCTCCACACTATGTGTTAAATAAATATGTAAGTGATCACAATAGTTTAATCTAGACTTCACTGAATATGATAATGAGTAAGATTTTGAGACATTTAAAAAAATAAAGGAGAAAGGATATGATATATGTAGTCTTCCAAAAAACTTAAAACTTAAGTTAAAGACTTTCCTGATATATCCCTGAATGACTTGAAACAGAAAGTGCAATGTGATGCTTTATGTTTGGACTGTCATGGTGCAATAAGGATTAATTTCCACCTATTTGTTACAATTATGACATAAGAATAGAGTGTTGTCTCGACCAATATGGAAGTGTCCCAAAAAGTACAACTATACCTTATACATCCGTTTTAATTTTTCTGTTTTAATAATATTTTTGAAATAGAAGTTGCTCTATAATTCCTGACATTAAATTTAAGAATATTTTTGAAATGCTTTATTATTTCTCTGTTATATGTCCATAGAAACTACATTCACTCCAACAGCCTGCAATAATGAGTCTTGTAAGTGGTCACAATGGTTTAATGTAGACTACCCTGAACATGGTAATGAGGGAGATTTTGAGACATTTACAAAAATAAAGGAGAAAGGATATGATATATGTAGTCTTCCAAAAAATGTAGAATGCAGAGCTAAAGAATTTCCCGATATATCCCTGAATGACCTGAAACAAAAAGTGCAATGTGATGCCACATTTGGACTGTCATGCTACAAAAAGGATCAATTTCCACCTATTTGTTACGATTACGAGATAAGAGTAGAGTGTTGTAGCTTTGAGCCATGTGTAATTGACTCAACAAGTATAACTCCTTCAACCACCACTCCCACAACAGAAGTTACAACACGTGTTTATCCAACTACTGCTACTACAGCACCATTCACCTTTACAACTACACCTTCCACAATGACAACAGGTAGGGTACTTAATATATTAAATATACTTGAATTTTTATAGTTTATTGCAAACCAAGATATTACCAACATAGGAATGCTGCTTAGATACAAACATAATGTTCATTACTCACTGCTTCTTGGATTTCAAAAATCACTAGATAAGGCTGGTGGAATTTGCAGAATATTGCGTTACTGTAGTATTATAATATAGCTCTATCTAACACAATAATATAGTTTAAATATGTCCTAGGGTTATGTCTTTGACTACATTTATGGCTTTTGTTTCTTTTTAATCTACCTCTGTTTTCTTCCTCCTTGTTCTCCCAAACATCTGTATGTTTCTAATAATCTTTAAGAAAATCACTTCATTTTCTTCTGTCAGAAAATTATTTTTGTAGCATTATCAAAGAGCATACTGAACCCAAATATTTCACATTGGAAAAAAAAAGTATCTTTAAACGTAACATTTTTAAAACGGAAAGCTACAGTGACAGGGTCTTAACACCACAATCTATCTGATAAGATTAATTGGTTATGGTGCTTAGAGTGACCCTTTAATTGTCCTTCCAATTTAAATTATATATGAATAAGATTTTTTTCATTATTAAATCATTTTTGCAGCAAGAAAATATGGTATGACGTAGATGATGTTATGCCTGTCTTTAAATTTAGAATATTTTTGAAATACTTATTTTGTTTCTCTGTTATATCTCAACAGAAACTACATTCACTCCACTAGTCTGCAATGAGTCTTGCAATTGGTCACAATGGTTTAATGTAGACTACCCTGAGCTTACTCGTGAAGGGGATTTAGAGACATTTGCAAAAATAAAGGAGAAAGGATATAATATATGTAGTCTTCCAAAAGATGTAGAATGCAGAGCTAAAGCATATCCCAATTCATCTCTGAATGACCTGAAACAGAAAGTGCAATGTGATGCTACATTTGGACTGTCATGCTACAATAAGGATCAATTTCCACCTATTTGTTTGGATTATGAGATAAGAGTACAATGTTGCATCTTTGAACCATGTGTTAGTCTCACAACAAGTATTCCTACTACATATGAACACTCGACAGCTCTATCAACTAAAAAAGGCAGTACCATTGAACCTACTACCAGTAAAGAGACCAGCAGCACTGCCATAACTGTAACAAATTCCACCCCATATGTTCCAACTAGTGCACCAACAAGAACAGATATTAGAACAAACTCAACTGTACCAATTATCACAGAACAGTCAGAGACCACCACCACTGAACGGGTTGTAATTAAACACTATACAAGTACGGCACAATCTGAGGGTCCCCAGATCATGGAAACTACTAGTGTGATTTCCACAAAAATAACACAAATTTCAGAAAAAACTCCTTCAAAAATGAGTTTGCTAAGTACAACTATCAACGACAGAACATCAATCTTCTGTAACTGCCATGTAAATAACTCGTCATTCTCACCAGGTATAATTTATATTTTATCTATTTACAAAACGGTAGCAATAATTATTTGTATATTTTTTTTTTTATAATCCGTCATCATCCTTTACATTTTTGTCTTTCCAAAAGCACATTTACTAATTGATTGCTATATGTGAATGATGTCTCATGCCACAATTCAGTTCCAAACTTGAGATAACAAAATCTGTTTTTTTAATTAATGTTTTTGCTCTTTTTAGACATAAAATCCATTCTTAATGCAAAGTTTCAGCCATGGATAAATTTCTAATCATTTAATTTTAAAATAGTATGCATCTTGTATTTTGGCTGATTGTTCAGAGACCTTGTGGGGACATAAACACAGTTATGAAATGTCAATGGTAAAATAGAAAAATTAGAAAAAAGTCCACTTTGACTAAAACAAATATTTTTTCCATCAAGTATCTGAGCCTAAATGTTTTGCATTAGTTGTAAAGTCAACACTACATGCTGTAAAGTGCCAACATCTACTCTATAAAGTTTGGACAAACAAATGTGTGCCTATATGTCACTCGTTTTGTACTATTTTCTAACTTATTTTAAGTAAATGCTGTAGGCTCAGTTCTTTTCAAAGTCATAAAATCTGCAAGCACATGTTTTTTTTTTCATCAAAATATTTAAGGGTTTTTTTTATCGCAAGATAATCCTCATAACATACAAAGTCTGCAATATTCATTGAAGCTTAAAAATTGTAATTTATCTTGTGTTTTATAATGGACTCTGAACTCACTATTAATATAGAGGGGCCTGGCAATACGGGTCCTCCAAACCTCTCACATTTTATGTGTTGCTGTGATGTTTAAAAATGTGATGTATGGGCAGCCACTGATTCCCATCAGGTTTTTATTTACATAAGAGAAGGGCCTGCTTAATTATATCCTTCCTCTCACACAATTTGCTGCAAAAAACAGATAAAAGTCGTCCACTTTACAGAATGATACAAATTTTGAATCAAGCATTTTTCTGGTCCAGAGGCCCCCACATACCCTAGTGGAGGATAGTATACTGATGCTCCATTATTCCCTGAATAATATGCTAGCAGGGGCACTGCTACTACTGCCCATCCACTTCCTCCCTCACTCTTTTATTGGTGCTAAGTGGTTAAGGAAGTTGAACAATTTTATTTGAAAACCAGTGAGATCAACAAGGAAGTTTACTTCAGTTTCCCCGAAGTACCAAGCCATTTAACCCATTAAGGACACAACTTCAGAAATAAAAGGGAATCATGATGGAATATTTCCGTCATGTGTCCTTAAGGGGTTAAATAAATTAAATTCAGCAGTATAACATGTTAATGCCTACAAGGGTGCCCCTGCAGGGTAACATTCCCACAGTCTCCTTTAGTGTCCTCCAATTCTATGTCCAGCCATGTTGTACTGCTCTGAAAATAAAACTGACTTTGCCCTATGTCCCTAAATATATGTGAAATAGCATGTTTTCTTTCTTAACTTCTCCTTGGAAATCAGATATAATCAAATGGCAGATCTAATTGTAGTAGAACTTGTATTTTCATGAAAACAAGCAGTTTTGAGGGTGTCAAAAAATTATGTTGGAAGTTGGAAGCAATTTTACATCTAGGGGTCATTCTTCTAAGATACTTATTAAGTAATAATACTTAAAGGGACACTATAGTCACCTGAACAACTTTAGCTTAATGAAGCAATTTTGGTGTATAGAACATGCCCCTGCAGCCTCACTGCTCAATCCTCTGCCATTTAGGAGTTAAATCCATTTGTTTATGAACCCTAGTCACACCTCCCTGCATGTGACTTGCACAGCCTTCCATAAACACTTCCTGTAAAGAGAGCCCTATTTAGGCTTTCTTTATTGGAAGTTCTGTTTAATTAAGATTTTCTTATCCCCTGCTATGTTAATAGCTTGCTAGACCCTGCAAGAGCCTCCTGTATGTGATTAAAGTTCAATTTAGAGATTGAGATACAATTATTTAAGGTAAATTACATCTGTTTGAAAATGAAACCAGTTTATTTTCATGCAGGCTCTGTCAATCATAGCCAGGGGAGGTGTGGCTAGGGCTGCATAAACAGAAACAAAGTGATTTAACTCCTAAATGACAGTGAATTGAGCAGTGAAATTGCAGGGGAATGATCTATGCACTAAAACTGCTTTATTTAGCTAAAGTAATTTGGGTGACTATAGTGTTCCTTTAAGTAATATGTCCCCAATATATGTAATAAAACTCCTCAATATGTCTAGAAACATGCTTTTCAATTGTGTGTTACAGGTGATGTAATTTACAACCAGACTGATGAAGATGGTTGCAATTTCTATGCAATCTGCAATAAGGAATGCAAAATCGATAGGTTTCCAGGGACATGCATAGTATCCACAACACCAAACAAAGAGCCAATATCTACAACTCCAGATAAAGGTTGTCCTCCAAGAAAGGTAAGCAGACATATTAGAATTTAAATTATCCATTTAAATTCTAGATATGATTCAACCGACCCATTTGATTCTTTACATAAGTGCAGTTAACCAATTGTTTAATTATACTGGTCAGGATGGCAAGAATCATGGTTGGAGTTTTAGGACAGGTAGTTGTTTGGCATTCCTGATTTTAAAGACACGCTGATCATAATATTATAATTAATATATATATATATATATATATATATAACACAATGTGTTTCCTTTTACAGATAAATGAAACTTGGTTCATCAACAACTGTACAGTAGCCACATGTCATGAAAACAACGTAATTACTATTAAGTCTGTGTCATGTCCACCAGTACAAAAACCAACCTGTGCTAATAATATTCCCCCTGTCCAAGTTTACAGTCCAGATGGATGCTGCTATCATTATGAATGCCAATGTGAGTAATCCAAGCAAACAAACAGGCACTGTTATAACAATAAAATGTGGAGAGAAGTATCCAAGGCTGTCATGGTGGTCTGCCAGGATTGAGTAGTAGATTTGTGACCCAACAGTGCAAATCTCAATGAGATACAAATTCTTGTACTAATTATGCCACAGCTGAAATTGAGTGTGCCAGGCTGACTGATCTAATATTGCTTAAATATAAGTGCATCATAAACATTATGCATATTTTTAATAATTATCACAATCAAAACATGAATATATAATTGCATATAGTATTAATGTATCAGTTTATATACATAAAACTTGATGTTTTGTAAAGATCTTTATACATATTTTAAAGTTTTTACAAAAATATCATACATTATTAATTAAATGGCTGTTAGCACATATTGAGAAGTGTAGTGGTTCTTGAAGTTAAGGGCAATCATTAAATATGCACCAAGTCATTATTATACAGATGGAATATGTAATTAATTATACTGTGTTAACTTTTTTTTTAACTTTTATAGGTGTCTGCATTGGTTGGGGTGACCCTCATTACATCACTTTTGATGGAACCTACTACACTTTCCTAGACAACTGCACCTATGTTCTTGTGCAGCAAATTAACCCTAGATTTGACAACTTCAGAGTTCTTATTGATAATTATTTCTGTGGCACAAAGGATGGTTTATCTTGTCCACAGTCTATCCTGATTTACTACAAGGATAATGAAGTTGTGCTAACCCGTATCCTGTACAATGGAGTAATGACCAACCGGGTGAGTTGGGACATTAAATTGCTTAAAGTGACTTTGTTTCTTTCAGATGTCTTTGCATATTTTTTTTACATTCTGACTTGGTTTAGAGACTTAGGGGTGCATTGGGGAGTTATCCAAAGCTGTCCATGGCAGGTTACCTGAAGCCTTCTGTCCACAGTTCCTGGTGCTTCTTTCACCTGGAGTTGCATTAGTGCAGTTCTCTCACACATGCATGAGAATACAGCACTGATGTCTATTAGACATGTGCATCCACTGCATTCATTCTTAGCCAAATGGATTCTTTTGATAAAAAATTGATTCCTCTGAAACAAAACCTACCAATTTATGTTAAACTAATTAATTCAGATATGGGAATTTTAAATCTGAATCACAAGATGAAATAAAAGGTTTCATCCATTAAAAGGGACAAATCAATTTGTTGACAAACAAATCAGTTAATATAAGGATGAGTGCAACAAATGCACACGTCTAATGTCTAAGGAAGATCTTGTGAATGCAGGAGACTCAAATGAATAAGGCCTCGATTTAATTTGTTTGGATCAGCATTTCAAAATATCACAATTTGTTAGAAAAATATTTCAAACAATTTATCTACAAAAATCAAGACGGATGGGATAAAAATCCTTTTTTTTTATCTACAAAGCTGCAAGACATTCACTCTAGAGTGGCCTCACCACTCAGATTCAAAGGGAACCAGCCTTCCTGTTCCAACTCGAAATGATTCAAGATGGACTTCCAAGCAGGAGAACAGAAATAAAAGGGTTGAAAATCCAGGCGCAAGTCCCCAAGTTTGTTGAAACTTTTTTTTAGTGATCACTATAGCTTGAGGAAATTGCCTCCTTATGCCCTGAACTTGTAATTCTGTCCAACCAGAGTTCCCAGCACAAGGCCTTGGGGAGCAACAAACTGAGACTGACACAAAAAAGATGAATATGTACTCCAATTTATTAGAGCAAAGCAAGGGTTTATATAAGCTTTTTGAGAAGTTTTGAGACTTTCAGGGGTGTGTATGATTAAGTAATAAGAGGTGTACATAATTAAGAAAACAGGTTGAGACATTTTGTGCAATCGTATTGCAGAGCAAGATATGTTATAATGAGGGGGATTGCCTTTTTTGTTACTAGAACCTTTGTGCGTACATGCTAAACCACACTTTTTTATTTTTTTGTCTACAAAGCTTGCGTAGCAATAGACTAATCAGAACTGGTTTTAGCTAGAAACATAAGGTTCTTTTAAGGAAACTGTAGCAGAATATGATTAACTGGCTAAAACTGGTTTAAAAAATGTCCTCGAAGGGCATTGCAGGAACAAAAGGATTTTTAACCCTTCAAAGACTGTGCATTCTTGTAGATAAATTATTTGAAATGCTTTTCTAACAGATTGTGATCATTTGAAATTCTGATCAAACAAATTAAATCAAGGTCTAAGTCTCGTGCAATGTAAGAATCAGCCTGATTCCTCACAGCCATGTCTAGCAATGGCAGTAGAGATAGAAATTTTGACAACCTCTGGCTTTTCCATATTACAAAGCAGCCCCTACTTTGTCTTATGTTACATTTAGACTGTATTCAAATTCCAATAAAATTGTAACACAGTCAATATGAGCATTTCATAAATATTTTATTAAAACTTTTTTTGAGGTAATATAGCCATTTTAATATATATTAATATATATATATAAACATCCAAACTCTGGCACTCTGCCCAAAAATATTAAATATTTATAAATACCAAGGTGCTTCTCTGTATGAATATAGAAAAAACAAAAGAATGAGAGCACTCACTGGATTTAACAAAATCACTTGTATTTAGAAAGTGAACATACCACCAACGTTGATTGGTATGTTCACTTTCTAAATAGAAGTGATTTTGTTAAATCCAGTGATTGCTCTCATTCTTTTGTTTTATATATATATATATTTAATTTAATATAATTGTTGTAGACAATTTGAAAAAAAAACACATAAGAATGTTTGTTCATTATGTATGTATATTTTACTAACAAATATTTCCTGCATAATTTGACATGATGACTAAGGATGATCACTTTTGAAATTTGCCCAACAGATAAGATTCAATCAGAACTGGGTAACACCTGGATTCTCCATGAATGGTATTTTTGTTACCAGTGCTGGTATCAACATGATTGTTGACATTCCAGAAATTCATGCTCACATCTCATTTAGTGGAATGATCTTTGAAATTAACCTGCCATTCAGCTTATTTGGTTACAATACAGAAGGGCAGTGTGGTATGTATCTGTTTGTATCATATTTAATTTTATTTTATGAAAAAAAAAAATGTTGTTACCACAATGCACCATAAAAAGTTGCATTTTTAGAAATATTTGTTTTCTGTATGCTGTTTTATGTTACATTCCTGTACATGTTTAGAACATTGGTCATGAGTTTGTATGCTACTTTTATAACACTATTTAAGATGCAATATATAGAGTACCAGAAGTATATGCATAATCTCATTTTCTACGTTAAAGGTCTTTGCCTCTTTTATTTTGTTAAGCTATTAAAGCACAGGCTGTTCTTAAAGTAATAAACAAAAGAAGGAAACAGCGCTAATATAAACCAATACCAAGATAGGTAATGTATGAGGCGGCAACCTAAAAATAGGGTTCCCTCTAAGCCCTATAGACAAAGGTAATACACAAGACACAATAGAAAAAGATTGCGCCAAAGCTGGCTATGGTACGACTAAAATAAACAAAGTCCAGAGAATAAGTAGTGCCAAAGTAAAGTGTTAAGTTGGGCCTGATGGGGCACCGACGGCTTTTGTGGAGGAATATTCTCTCTATGGGTCAAATTAAGATGGTTTTCAGGATCCGTATGTAAAGAGAGAAGGAGATAATAGTGCAAATACATATGATACAAAGTGTTTAATTGCAGGAAGAAGAGATCTATAGTAATCCTACTCTTTCTCTCTTTACATACGGATCCTGAAAACCGTCTTCATATGACCCATAGAGAGAATATTCCTCCACAAAAGCCGTCGGTGCCCCATCAGGCCCAACTTAACACTTTGCTTTGGCACTACTTATTCTCTGGACTGTTTATTTTAGTCATACCATAGCCAGCTTTAGCGTAACCTTTTTCTATTGTGTCTTGTGTTCTTAAAGTAAAACTGAAAGTAGTACTATTATAAAGTTATTTTATTTATGTTTTCGTGTATCATTATGGCTTTACATTGTTGTGGATAAATAACCCAAAGTATGTTCAAGGGAAAACAGATTGTTGTAACGAGTGCTCAGAGAAGCAATAAGAAACACTCACGGTTTGTGAATCAAAGATTGCTTCTGCTTTAATTGGGAGAACTTACAGATTATATAGAGAAATAGCTATGTGCAAAAAGAAATGCAGAACTAGCCATAATTATGAAGGTCACAACACACACAATTACTGGAAATTTTGCTACATTACAAGAAAGGGAGGGGGACAGGGCAGCTGCAAAGTTTCTCTGAAAGCTGAAGGGCATCATAACGGATAAGAACAAAAATGTGTGTGTACGTGCAAACTGCTAAATTAGGGTAAAATTCATCTTCACATATAAAGCGTATCATGATCCAAGTTAGCCAATTTTAAACAGACTGAACATCACGTCGGCTATAGCTGCTTTCACAATTCCCTTCTTTTCACCCCAAGGTTCACCCAGGTTTCTGAGGTATGTCCAGATGTGCTAGTCACACCTGTGGGTCTTTTTAGTATTTCTTCACCACAGTTCCCTCAGACAGGGCGAACCAGGGGTCATTAGAGGAATGTTTCTTAATTAGTTACACAGCGCTTTAGGTGTTAGAAGTAAGAGAAGCTGACATGTAAGTTAAGGTTTGACCAACATGAGGTTTTGATTTACAAAAGGATGATAGAAGACAGGAGAAGAACTTAAAAGTAAGAAAGATCAACATAACAACAAATACTGCAATAAACAAAAAGTATAATATTTTCTTGATAAGCAGGTTTAGCCATGTACCCAATCTAAAGGTCCAATCCCATTCCCCAAATAATGCAGTGTCTTGCTTAGTATCATCTACTAGGTTATGCAGGTCTTGTATGTGTTCATAGATCATGGTCACATGATCTGAGAGGTCATGAACAACACATACCCTTGAAGCTTCACATCCTAAATCATGCTTCAGTAATAAGTAGTCAATGGCTGCACTGTTTTCAATGATTGATTTCTTATTAGCTAAGGTATCCATTAGAAGCTCTTCTAAGGCCTGGGAGGTTGCAATTAAACCTTTTGCAAGGGGGCGGGCCAGGGCATTTATAACTCTAGCATTGTATACTGCTAGTCTGGGGACCCCTACTAGAAAGAGTGCCAAAGCAGTCACTCCGCTTTAGATAAGAGAGTAATTTTAGGGTCAAAATCTGGGGTAAGAGTATCTTTAATGTCTCTCCTGCCTCAGTTGGGCCGGTTTAACTGGGTGGTTTCAGAGACTAGGTCAGATTTAGAAAACATAGTCATGGTTAGACGTGAGATTGTGCATGGGCCTTCTATGATATTAACTGAGACATAAGCATAAGTAATATTCCCACAGGAGAGAGTACATCCAATTGGCAAATGAACATGGTGATGGTAACTCACTACTTGGACTTTTTTGTTTCAGATCAGTTGGTGTGACTAGTTTACAGTGGCTGGCATGTATCCAAGTTGGTTTTCCCTCTAGCTTCACTGAGGTAGACATAGTCAGGAGCACTTGGAATGGACCGTCAAATCTTGGATCAAGTCCTTTTCTCATGTGCCTCTTTATCACAACCCAGTCACCAGGCTGTAGTTTGTAGGTTGCAGAATCAGAGTATGGGTCTGGAATGGAATCAAACACTTGTTTATGCACCTGCCCTAACTTCTTATGGAGGGCCTGGACATATGAGGTCATGTTACTATGTTTTTATTTGGAGTTGAAATAGAGTCCTGTTTTGGGGCACAACCAAACAGAATTTTAAAGGGAGACAAACAATTTCTAGGATGAGGGAGTGAATCTCATGGAGAAAAGCGCTAGGGAAGACATTCAGTCCAGGGTTTTCCTGTCTCTTGCATGGCCTTTGCAATTTTATTTTTTAGAGTGCCATTTGCACTTTCTACTTTCCCACTACTCTGGGGGTGGTGAGGAGTGTGGAAGAACTGACTGATCCCTAGTGCCTTCATTATTTCTTGCATTATCTCTCCAGTGAAATGGCTACCTCTGTTACTTTCAATCACTTCAGGTATTCCGTATCTACATACAAGTTCCTTCAGAAGCTTACTTGCTGTGACCTTCGTTGTGGCTTTCGACACTGGGTAGGCCTCAATGCACACCAACACATATTCATACACTCCTACCTTAGGCAGTTGAATATAGTCTATCTGCAGTCTCTGAAACGGGTAAAGTGACCTTGGTAGGTGTGTACCTGGTGTTTTGACAGCCTGTCCAGGGTTGTTTCTAGCACAAATCATGTAAGCCTGGGTGTGCCTAGCTGCTACAACAGTAAACACAGGCGCCACTCAATGGGTGTTTACTATACAGTTCATGTTTATTCTGGACAAATGGGTTGGTCCATGGGCCATCTGTACCATCATAGGGTATAGAACTTGTGGTAAACATAGTCTTTTACCTTTTCTCCACAACTTTTCATCATCAGGTTCTGCATCTTGTTTCCTCCAGAGTTCTTGTTCTTCTTTGCTTGCTTGCTTCTGCAGGCTCAACAATATATTGTAGTCAACAGTCTTATCTGGAAGGACAACCTGTAGGAAGGTATTACCTGAGAGTGTGGAAGGATGAAGTTGGATTGCTGCTTGCTTGGCAGCTTCGTCTGCTTTGTGGTTTCCTCTTTTAATTTCATCTGTGATCTTCACGTGAGTTGCAACCTTGATGATGCCTACTTGAGTGGGTAGCATGATAGCGTCCATAAGGGCATTCACAATTTCAGAATTATTGATTGGAGTTAGTTAGATGAAAAAATAACAAGCCCACCATATAGGCCCAAAGTCATGGGCTATACCAAAGGCATAGCAAGAGTCTGTGTAAATATTAGCTGTCTTACCAGAGGCCAGTTTTCACGCTTCAGTGAGTGCCTTCAGCTCAACCTCCTGTGAAGAGCATGGAGGGGCGAGTGGTTCAGTTTTAATTACCTCATGTGCCGAGACTACAGCATATCCAGTGTGGAAATTGACCTTCTCATAAGCAAATCGAGAACCATCTACAAAAAACTCAGTCTGGATTAGACAATGGAGACTCAATTACATACGAAATACCTGTTGTCTCTTGTGCCATTAATGCTACACAATCATGGGGTACCTGGGCTTTAGCTAACCTGTCTGGTGACAGGGAATTTACAAAAAGATCAGAACTACAATCACCACTCCTCTCTTTTAAATCCAGGGGATTTAACACCATACACCTTTTCAAAGTGACATTTGGAGGCATGAGTAGAGCACACTGCATCCTGGGATGCCTTGCAGTATGTATGTGTTTTGGTGGAATTGTGACAGAATGCTGTTAATGTCATGCAGGGTGTAAATGGTTACAGGATTGTCTAAGACAATGTCAGTGGCTTTGTCCAGTAGAGCACTAACAGCAGCTACTGCTTTGACACAGGAAGGGGCACTTCTGGCAACAGGATGTAACCTGATAGATTAGTATGCAATAGGCCTTTGTTTCTCACCAGGGTCCTGCGTAAGGACAGCTGTTGCATAACCAGCCTGCTAAGTGCAAAACACGGTGAAGGGTTTCTGTAATCTGGGAGACCCAGTGCCGGGGCTGAGGTGACAAGCAACTTAAGAGTGTAAAAAGCTTCCTCTGCTTCAGGAGTTAAATGAAATTATTCACGAGTGAGGCAATCATGCTAGGGCTGCATGTAGATTGCTGCAGAGTGAAGTCATGGGCGACAATAGGAGACTAGGGCCAGGAATGTATGTAGCTGGGATAGGCTGCATGGAGGCTTAATCTTTTGAACTGCATGATTCCTGTCTTCTGTGAGATGTTTTGTACAATGGGAAATACAATGTCCTAAAAAGATAAGTGGGAACACATGCCTGCAGTTTGGCCTTGGTAGCTTTGCAGCCTGCTTGCGTTAGAAGTTTTAGTAAAGACAGGGTGTGCACTGTACATGATTTCTGATCTGGGCAACATAAAAGCAAATGAGCAACATATTGTAATAACACAACATCATCTGCCCTTGGCCAAGCTTCTAGAATGTGGGCCATTGACATGCTATACATGGTAGGTGAATTTTGACCTTGGGGCAAAACCGTCCATGTGTATTGTTTGTGTTATGTATAAATGCAAAAAGGAATTGACTCACTGGATTCAAGGGAGCAGGAAATAATGCATTTGCCAGGTCAATGACAGAAAACACCTTAGAGGAATGTGGAATCTGTGACAACAGTATATGAGGGTTTGTGACATTGGGGGGCAATTAATTCAGTTACAGCATTAACAGCTCATGCACCATGCACTATACCACTGGCTTGCCTTTCTCTTGTTTCTTCCTAAAGGTATACACAGGGGTATTACAAGTGGAGGTGGTTGGGGCACGTACACCTGCCTGCAATATTTCCTGGATAGACTGAAACATTATGTCATCTTGTTCTGGGCTAAGGGGATACTGTTTTTGAGGGGTGACTCCCGGTAGAAGAGTTACTTTTACTGTGGGCACAGAGAGTCTGCCTGTGTCTGTCTTCCTTGTTGCCTATAGAGAGTTGGGGACTGAGGTCAAGTCAATGGTAGGTTCTGTCACAGGGTTGGGCAAAGTGAGGGTCGCTAGTAAATTGGCAAGTGGTATCAGATGGTTGTCGCCTAGGGGCAAGGACAATGATACCTCTCCAGATAGACTGTACTAAATGTTGACATTAATAGCAGACAGAATATCACTGCCTTGAAAATTGACAAGGGCATTAGGGCTGACAAGCAATCTGCTAATAAGAGAAGTAGAGTCATGGAATTTAAGCTTTATCTGGTGGGTTAAAAGGATTTCTGCAGGTGTCCCATCAACACCCACACATGATAACACATCATCAGATTTCTCATAGGGAAAGATATTTCTTCTGCACACCAGCACGGACTGCCCCAGTGTCTAACAGAAAAGAGACTATTTTATCACCTGGAAATGTGACATTAACCATTGGAGAGGGTCCAGCTATGTTGGGAATAGTTAAAGCATGCAGGGACACTGGGGTGTCAATTTCCTGGAAACAGCAGTATCTTGTGACGGTAGGGTAAGCGGGGGTGCTGCTGCATTGTGACAGTCAGGTTTGAAGCAAGAAGGACATTTACAGTTTCGCTTGATGTGTCCTTTCCAGCATTCTACTTCCTGGTGGCTAAGGGCTGATGTTTTCTTGAGTGCATTAGAATAAGCCTCTACCCCCATGACTACTTTAACTAAATCAGAGTGATTGAGTCCCCTCCATTCAGGGCCAGTTGCCTGAAGGGCAGTGCGTAAGAGAGGGTGTAGACCAGGCTTCCCCAAACTCTGGCCCTCCAGATGTTACTGAACTACAACTCCCATGATTCTCAGCCTCTCTCTTTCATTCATAGAATCATGGGAGTTGTAGTTCAGCAACATCTGGAGGCTGGAGTTTGAGGAAGCCTGGTGTAGACCATCCATAAAACAGTTAGCAAGGTGTCTGACAGATAAGGTGTATAATTTAGAGTATCCTAACGACTCCCAGTCTATCTGAAGGTGGCAAAAACTTTTTCCACTGATTCCCCTTGCACAATATCATTGAGTCCCACCAAGGGTTAGCACATTCACATCTGGGACAAATCCAGTAAGATTTTTGATTAACTGGATTAGTAGTGGATACAGGGACTTGAGGGGTTTAAGACATGACTAGGGGCCACCCTCATCCTTACCCAGGTAAGGTGGTGGGTTGTATGAGGTACTGGGGGCTATGACTGTAGAGCTGAATCTTAAGGCACCAAAATATTGGTAGTAGGGTACCCCATTCCTAGTGGTTTCTCTACAACCACATTTAGTCAACTCTACTGCAGCATCAAGCCATTTCTGGGCGACTTCAACTAAATTGTTATCCATTAACCATCCTTTATAATTGGCCATAAATTCTTTCCAAATCTGTGGGTCCAGGCAGCCTTCAGAAGGTAACAAATTATAAAAAAAGGATGCACAGTAAGGTGGAAACTTTTTTTTTTTACAATAATGTCTTAGTGTGCTCTATAAAATACATTTTCAACATAAGATATTTTTCAGCTATCTACAAAATGCTATATAAAACAACACATTGAAAAGGCAATACAGCTTTAAAGTACACTCAGCTTTAAATGCAGCTTTAAAGTACACTCCAGTACACTTTAGAGTACTGAATTGCTTTGTGTGTAAATAGTGTGTCCTCTTTTAAAAAAAAAAAATATTTTAGAAAGAGTGCAGATTTCCAATAAAATAATCAAACTTATAAAAATGAACCTTCTTACACCATCCTGGCTGTCAATCAACTGGAGGACAACTGGTCCTGTTACTTCCTGGATGTTTAGCTCAGTGGAGCTAAACTCAAAAGTCAAGCAATTGCTCAGGGCACTAAGCTCTTTAAGCTGCATTGTGAAGTCTGTAATTGGACAGCCACATAAAGTCAGGGTGGAGTAAGAAGGGGAGGGCTTGCAGCAGACAAGAGATTGTTTAGCTTTTACCAACTGTTTTAGATATACCCCTGCATAAGTAAATTCCTGCAGGTTTCTATTGGTCGTATATTTACTAAATAGTGATTTATTTATTATACATTTTTTTGTATTTGGTCATTGGAGTTTCCTTTTAAGTGCATATGTTGACACTATTTTCTCCTGATGTAACACACAGGCACCTGCTCCAATAATAGAACTGAAGATTGCAGACTGCCTAATGGTAAAATCACTTCAGATTGCTCTCAGATGGCTTATCATTGGAATGCGACTGACAATCCATACTGCAATTTACCACATCCTATGCCTTCTTTATCAACTGTATCACCTTCACCAACAACAGCATGTCCACATTCCAGTGTCTGTGATGTGATCCTAAGCAAGTAGGTGACATTTATGTGCTGACTTATCATTATTGTCATTTTTATTTTATAAATGTGAAATTCATTTTCCATTATTAGAAGTATTAGAAATAGTTTAATTTAGCTTTCATCACCATGTTGTCATTTTCAATTTTGAACAATAGAATCAGTAAACCAAATATTTCAGAAAACACACACGCACACAAAAATAGATGTTTAAAAACTTTACAAATTCACTGCAAAAGGTCTTTTTTTCTGAATGCACTACACAAAGTATATTTGTATATTTGAAGTTTATTTGTGTATATTAACTATCTCACATTTCATTTCCAGTATTTTTGCAGAATGTCACAAAATAATAAACCCAGGCCCCTTTCATAAAGGTTGTCTCTTTGATGCCTGTCGTATTCTCAATGATTCTGTGGCATGCACAAGTATACAGATCTATGCCTCAATGTGCACTTCCAATGGAATTTGTGTAGACTGGAGACAGGGAGCTGGAAACCATTGTCGTAAGTTATACAGTAGAAAAATAAGATGAAACCTTTTGATAGGAATAAATAATAATAATTACTTTATCTTATCAGAAAAAAACAACTTAGAATATAATCAATTTTTTTCTGTGCAAATACAGCATACAACTGCCCAGCTGGAAAGATATATAATGCCTGTGGTCCTGCTTATCCTACAACATGTGAAAACGGGTAAGACTACAATTTATATCATATATAGGAGGAATAAACTGCCAGTAATTGAAATAACAGCACTCTTCCAATTTAATGACATGGCTTATTTATTAACCCCTTAACGCCGTTACGGCGTTCTATGCCGACCCGCTTTAATTGGGCTTTAAAGCCGTTGCAGCGGCATAGAACACCGTAACTGCTTTGAGCCCTGGAGCGCCCGGTATACTCACCTTCCCGGCGCTCAGCTTGGGAGGACTGTCTGACAGCCCAGGCAGCCCTTCCCTGGAAAAAGAAGCCCCCGGGGGCCATGTGATCACTCTCAGTCCCCCTGCTGGTGGGAGCTGTAAAAAAATAATTAAATGTGTGTGTGTAAAATTAATTAAAAGTATTTTTATATATATAATATATGTATATCTATTATATATATAATATATATATACATATTATATATATGTAATGTCATACAAAGTGTATTTTAATATTAATATAAGTACATATATTAGTATTAAAATACACTTAGAATGACGTAACATATATATAATATGTATATATATTATATATATAATAAATATATACACATATATTATATATATACGTATAATTACAATAATAAATACATTAAATAATAAAATAAATAAATAAAATATTGAAACAAAATTTAATATAAATTATATATTCATATGTAATTTCATTCTAACTGTGTTTTCTTATTAATATATATATATATTTATTGGTAACAAAATACACTTAGAATGACATTCTATATCTATCTATCTATCTATATATAAAATACAAATAACTGCAAATATATGTATATATATATATATATAGATAAATACATATAATTACATAAAAGATTACATTAGTATACACATAGAATTTAAATACTTATAAATGCATATATATTAAAATTCTACGTGTATATTTAAGTAATCTTTTAACATAATTATGTGATTTGATTAATTAAAATTTGATTGACATGCCCGACAACACAGGGAGAAAGTGCAGAGAATTTAATTCGCAAGAACTATATTTGACTCTGTAACTCTTCAAGACGCTTGAAGGGCATATAATGCGCACAAGACTATAACTAATAAACATACCAAAATAACACACGTTACATCGGCCACTTTGTCACACTTCCCTTATTCCTTTTTCTTACTTTCACCCTCTCAGGACGGAGTCAAATGTGCACGTTCTGATCAAAACAAAACGTAAACAAAAACTGGAATTTGCGCTATATGTCTGTTCAACTGTAATTCACCGCTGTCACATTAAGTGCACCCACACTTATTATATATCATTTTGTTCAGGAGAAACAGGGCTTTAATTTATCATTAACAATTCATATATGGAACATAATTTATTATGAATAAAATTTAAAAAAATTTGAGAAAATAAGATTTTTTTTTAAACTTGTATTTCCATCTGACATTTTAGCTGTGCTAGGTTTTACTGCAAAACAAATGCACATATTTGTAATAAGCAATGTCCCACGAGTACAACAGTACCCCCCATTAACAGGTTTTATGGTGTTTTGGAAAGTTACAGGGTCAAATATAGAACGTTCCATTTTCAAATAGAAATTTGCCAGATTAGTAATGTTACCTTTGAGATGGTGTGGCAGCCCAGGAATGAGAATTACCTCCTAAATGGCATACCATTTGAAAAAGTAGACAACCCAAGGTATTGAAAGTGGGGTATTTTTAGTCTTTTTTAGTTGCCACTTAGTCACAAACACTGGCCAAAGTTAGCGTTCATATTTGTTTTTGTGTGAAAAAAGCAAAAAAATTATATTTGTCCAGTGTTTGTGACTAGGTGGCTACCATGAAAGACTGGACATACCCCACTTGCAATACCTTGGGTTGTCTACTTTTGCTAATGGTATGCCATCATGGGGGTAATTCTCATTCCTGGGCTACCATACGCTCTCAAAGGCAACATAACCAATCTGGCAAATTTCAATGTAAAAAAAATGAAATGCAAGCCTTATATGTGACTCTCTAACTTTTTAAACCCCATAAAACCTGAACATGGGTGTACTGTTTTTCTCGGGAGACTTCACTAAACACAAATATTAGTGTTTTAAAACAGTAAAACATTTTACAACAATAATATAGTCCATAAAAGTGCTGTTCATTTGTAAAAAAAAAATATGCAACAAACGTCACCTTTACTTAAAATATCATCATTGTAATACAATTTACCAGTTTGAAACTCTAATATTTGAGTTCAGCGAAGTCTCCCGAGTAAAACAGTACCCCCTATGTACAGGTTTTGTGGTGTCTTGGAGAGTTACAGGGTCAAATATAGTGCTTGCGAATTAAATTATCTGCACTTTCTCCCTATGTTGTCAGGCATGTCAATCAAATTTTAATTAATCAAATCACATAATTATGTTAAAAGATTACTTAAATATACACGTAGAATTTTAATATATATGCATTTATAAGTATTTAAATTCTACGTGTATACTAATGTAATCTTTTATGTAATTATATGTATTTATCTATATATATATATATATATACATATATTTGCAGTTATTTGTATTTTATATATAGATAGATAGATAGATATAGAATGTTATTCTAAGTGTATTTTGTTACCAATATATATATATATATACATATATATATATATATATATATATATATATATGTACACATATATATATATATATATATATATATATATATATATATATATATATATATATATATATATGTACATATATATATATATATATATATACATATATATATATGTATATATATATATATATTTTAATAACAAAATACAGTTAGAATGAAATTACATATGAATATATAATTTATATTACATTTTGTTTCAATATTTTATTTAAATTTATTATTGTATTTATTATTGTAATTATACGTATATATATATATAATATATGTGTATATATCTATTATATATAATATATATATATACATATAATATATATGTAACGTCATTCTAAGTGTATTTTAATACTAATACATGTGCTTATATTAATATTAAAATGCACTTTGTATGACGTTACATATATATTATATGTATATATATTATATATGTAATATATACATATATTATATATTTATAAATATATTTATTTTATTTTAAAACATGAGTGATTAATTTATTTTACATTTCCCACCAGCAGGGGGACTGTCTGACATTTCAGACAGTCCCCTTGCTGGCAGATCCACAGCCAGCTATAGGAGGCCATGTGATCGCTCTTTGGTAAGTATCCCAGGTGCTTTAGGGCTCAAAGCCGTAACGGCGTTAAGGGGTTAATAACACAGGGTGGAAACTATTCAATACATTGAAATGCATATAATACATTGCACATAAATACATTGTAAATACATTTCCTTGGTGTGATGTGGTCTTTAAGAAAAACTGGGAATAGAGAAATAAAAGTTGATTCATCAAGTTGTCTGCAAGAAGCATGCGTCTTGTCTATGTCTGAGGTCTTGGTTGGAATCCAAGCAAGTCTTAGTCATGCTAAGGAACCATACTTATTGCAATGTATTGCCAGTGTATTGCCAGTGCCAGTGCAGTGAGCTAGTTAGTATACTCTGTAATAGCCAGAACATGCAACCACAGGATAACCTGGGTTGCTGATGAGTCCGCTACCAAGCACAGATAACCTTAGGACTTAGTTAAGTAGTTAAAAAAACACAGACGATAGCAGGCCTGAACTGGTAAACCTTTGGTGCCAGAGATGCCAGGGCCATATAATCACAGGAAGGGATTTAAAAAGTATATTTTAAATAAAAATGAATAGCAAAATTAAGGCAGTATTTGAAGCAGTGTGGTTGACAACTGTGAATGTGAATATACAAACATTTTGGATGTGCAATAAATCATCCTGAAAAACAAGTAAGCAAACTTTGTATATGGTTCAGCACTTAACACATATGCACATACATATCTAAATGTGCACATGCTCACATGTTGAAAAGTTTGGGAATGATTGTTAAATGCAATCTGTAATACTTTTTTTTTTTTTTAAACAGGAAAATACCATTGGTCAGCAAAGGCTTTACTGAAGGTTGTTATTGTCCTTCTGGAACTAAACTGTTTAACTCTTTCACTGATGTCTGTGTGGAAAAATGCTGTAAGTATAGAAAAAATCAAATACACTGAAATTATCAGCCTCGGAAAGCTAGTGATATCTATTTATATCTATTTATAAGAAAATCATATTGTTTTTTTTAAAGTCTCTGTGAGTGTTATTTATAGTGCAAACCAAATAAAATTAATCCCTTAAGGATGGCGGGTGTGCTATGCCATCCTTGAGCATCCTAAAATTCAGCTCTAAACGCTGGCAGGCGGTATAGTACGTACGCACCGTCCAATGCACTTACCCACTCGCTGGCGATTCCCCTCCGGAGATCGCAATGTGGGGTCTTGCCTGGCATCCCAGGCAGTCCCCGTGTATCTGATCCGGCTCTCCTGGGCCATGTGATAGCGAGGAATAGCCATCCATAGTAGTGCCAGCAGAGGAAGTGCCTGGAATAACAGGGAGCCCCCCTGCTGCCTGAAATAAAGTGAAATAAAGTTCAAACACATTGTAAAATAAAATAATATATACTTAGATCATATATTTATATATACAGTTGCAAGAAAAAGTATGTGAACCCTTTGGAATGATATGGATTTCTGCACAAATTGGCCATAAAATGTGATCTGATCATCATCTAAGTCACAGCAATAGACAATCAGAGTCTGCTTAAACTAATAACACACAAAGAATGAAATGTTGCCATGTTTTTATTGAACACACCATGTAAACATTCACAGTGCAGGTGGAAAAAATATGTTTATGTGTGTGTGCATGTAAAAAGTGTACCATCGTCTGCACTGTCTGCACTGTTTGTTACCCATTTATTATTTTTGGTGTATTTTTACACCTTTGTTAAGTCAAACATACCTTGCAGGATTAGCCTCTCCCAGGCTTTTACAAATTTGGTGGTTAACTTATAATCAATACACTATTTTAGTGCATGGTAATAGTATTTGGACTATATACCATTTTAGCATTTTTTTCTAATAAAGGTTGTTTATCCTCTTCTATGTGACTATTTACATTATGAGGTACTTTGAATGAGGCTAGGCATTCCACCCACTTTTTTGTGAGTGGACTGTCTGCCCCATTTTTCGTCTCTTTTTTTCTATATATATTGAGGGGTTATGCCCCTTGTACCTCTGTAACCTTTTTGTGGGGTAGTGGTGGTGGTTTCCCCACCCCATAGCCCCTCTCTCTTTATTCCTAAATATATATATGATTATAATTTTATATATATTATATATAATATAAAATAAATATATAAATACGTTAAAAATAAAAAATAAAAAAATAATTTAAAAAATATAATTAAGATATATGTGTAATTTCATTCTAACTGTATTTTCAAATGAATATATATATAATTTGATATCAAAATACACTTAGAACAAAATAATATATATATATATATATATATCAATATAAATAAATATATATGTATATATCACTATACATACATATATATATATATATATATATATATATATACCTATATATAAATAAAAATCATTGTGAAGGCGGAGCACACCTACATCATGTGACGTGGCGTTGCTTGCCTCCATGCACCTCCAGGTCCTCCAATGTCCAGCCGCGGCCATCACAACACTGAAAATTAATAAATGAATTAGTTAATTTAACCCAGTTTTCAAAGGCATGTATAGAACAGATTCACAAAGCCTACCTGTAGATAGTATATTAGACAGATAGGAGGGCTGGAAGCTTTTGGCTTAAGCTGCAGGTATATAAAAAATGGCATATTGTTTTACACACAAAACTCATGGAATGCTGCATGGATTGACCTACTCATCCTTCACAAGCAAACAAAATGCTTTTCACAGATAAAGGCTGCTGTACTTGCAAGGAGTGGCATTGTGTATTCCTGCAGTTCCCATCAATACATCATGCACAGCATGATGGATTATTCACATAAATCTGTGCATGCCTAAGTGATCATCTGGTTTTGTAACTCCATTGACACAAATGTGTAATCTCACGCCACAACCACTTGTAAGCACCTCCACATCATACATATTCATCATTGTTTAGCACTCTTACTTCCTGGGAAAAAATCACACTGGCAGATCCAGTTCTGAAGAACATTGACACTCTGAGCAACCAGCCCAAGACCAAACTAACACAAGGCCCTTTACAATTCCTCCCTGTTTGCTAACACCTTTCATACTCTGCAAAAAAGACACTGCAAGTCAATTCTAATTGCAGAAGAATATTGCTGGGAGGCAGTAATCCACAAATTCTTCATGCAAGTTCCTTGAGGAAAATGTATATCCCAGTCCCACCTTACCAACATTCTCATGTTTAAATAATGTAATGTTACTACATTATGCTATGCACAAACTTTGTGGAAGTTTAAATTGTAGTCATCATTATGATCACCTTGTTTTTTTTCTTTTAACATGTAAAAGACTTCTATAACTCATCTTTTTAATCTTTTAGCTTGCGTTGGACCTGATGGAATGCCCAAACAGGTGACTAACATTTTATTCTTTAGATAAAGCAGATAGACATAAAAAAAAATCATATATGTTATTAATTACATATTCTGCCTACTCAATATACAAATGTGGATCCCCACAGTATAACTTAAAGGGACACTCATCTGCCCAAGTACAAAATAATTACTGTTTAATAGATATACCCTTCATGAAAACAATTAATTTCATTATGCATTTTTTAATTGGGGGTAAATAAAAAAAACTATGAAATCTACAAACCACAATGACCTCACATCTCTTGTCTAAAGCCTTTGCAAGTCCTCCTCTTCTAACCCAGCCCAGATATTTTGTGACCATCCAATCACAGACTTCTCTGGACAATTGCCTGACTTTTAAGTTTAGCTCCACTGAGCTAAACAACCTGGAAGCAATAGGACTGGTTGTGTGATTGACAGTTAAAGAGGAGTACCAAAGTACATTCTATGTTTCTATTTGCGGGATAACACTTACCAGGAAAGGTTAAAGGATCTTAACATGTATAGCTTGGAGGAAAGACGAGACAGGGGGGATATGATAGAAACATTTAAATATATAAAGGGAATCAACACAGTAAAGGAGGAGACTATATTTAAAAGAAGAAAAACTACCACAACAAGAGGACATAGTCTTAAATTAGAGGGACAAAGGTTTAAAAATAATATCAGGAAGTATACTTTACTGAGAGGGTAGTGGATGCATGTAATATAGCCTTCTGTAACAGACCGTTTTGCACAAAAGGGAAAAAAACCGCTTAGACGATAATCCCCTTTCAGAGACAGGCACAGCTACTGTAGAATCACCAAAACTCACGAACTGAATACAAGTGAATGCTCCAAACTCCCGAACAGCATACAAGTGAATGCTCCAAACACTCGAACTGCATACAAGGGAATGGTCCAAACATTCGAACTGCATACAAGGGAATGCTCCAAACACTCGAACTGCATACAAGTGAATGCTCCAAACTCCCGAACGGCATACAAGGGAATAAGGTAGCACTCCAAATACACGAACAGGAACCATACGAATTGCTGCTACCAGACGAACAGGAAAAGCTCCCAAGCGGCTTACACTCCTGGCAATCAGTCCTTAGCAGCATACAGTAAATCCCCCCAAAGACGAGACAAGCTCCGTGTTGAGGGTCAAGCAGTGGTCTGTTTAATGAGGGCTACCTGCCCAGTATTTATGCAGGTCTCCCACCTGGTGGACACTCCCCTAGGGGACCAAATGGGAGACTGTGACAAAGGACAGACAAGTAGACAAATAGGACACACAGTCACAGTATATTCCCACAATGCATCCTGGTTTCCTCCCCTCTGCCCTGAGAGATAATTGAGAAGTAACTCAATTATCTCCCAAGACAAAGGCAAAACTCCATTACACATGTGGGGACACAAAACCAGTATTATACTTTAAAATACATAAAGTAACATTTACTACATAAAACACAGACATGTAACATATCCCCAGATAGCTCAGGTCTGAGTGCACATTATTAGGTGAATGGCACTCAGACCACACGAATACAGTTTAATTGCCACGGAGCCAAAGTCTTTAATTACACAAACAGGCTCCATGGCATAGCTATCTGGGTTAAAACATTTCCCCCAACACAAAATACCGAATCTACATACATTCGTTTAATTGGTACGAATCAGAACCAGGGGCTGGAGGCTCAGCGGTGCTTAGCTGACACAGTGTCCAGATTTGGCGTAGGAAAGCCGGGCAGAAAAGCGCTGGCTGCCCGGGGAGCTCCAGAACATCGCCATCGTGTGGCGGCTAGGTGTAACTGCGACCACCCAGTAACACTCAATTAAGCTGCGGTTAACCGCAGCTACTGGGTGGTCAATTGCCGGCACACGCTCGTTCAGGGAGGTAAATGGAGGGCACACGCCAGCTTCTGGGTGGCCAATTAACGGAGCCGGCCGACTTCCCACGGCTCTGGGGAGGCTGATAGAAGTCTGTTTGTTCGGTAGATAGAATCTACCGAACGGCTGTGCAGAAAGGAAGGAATAAATCTTTCTGCACAGTAAAATTAACCATTTAACTGCCGGTCCATAATCCAAAGGCAGCAGGCGGGCAACCAGGCTCCTCCAATGCAATGTGGCGAGATTGGTCTCGTCACACCTTCCAGCTGAAGTGGTAGAGGTTAACACAATAAAGGAGTTTAAGCATGTGTGGGATAGGCATAAGGCTATCCTAGCAAAGAGATAAAACGGACTAATGAAAGTATTTAGAAAATTGGGCAGACTAGATGGATCGAACGGTTCTTATCTGCCGTCACATTCTATATTTCTATGTTTCTGTTTCTAAAGTTAATTTTTAAATGTGCCAATTTCTATTGAAATCTGCACTTTTTGTAAAATGAAGAAAACGTAAGACACCCTCTTCCCACATAAAGCACTTCAGCAAGATAAAGTGCCCTGGGGGTCTGGAGTGTCACTTTACATGCAGCTTGTGAATACCACAATATGTTGAGATTCTCTATGACATGTTCATATTCTGTTTACAGCCTGCAGAAACCTGGACAAGCAACTGCCAAAACTGTACCTGTGAGGAGACCTCACTTACCGTACAGTGCAAACCGGTCCAATGTGAAAAACATGCAAACATCTCTTGTAATAAAGAAGGATTCATTCTCGTACAGACACAAAACCCAAATAATACATGTTGCATTCAAAATCAATGCAGTAAGTGAATTCAAAAGACAAATACCAAAAACTGTCTACATCCCATTTGTGTTAAATGTTTCATAACACAATTTGCACAATGTAATACATTTTAATTGTACATCATTCTTCACCCACAGGCTGTGATAGACGTCTTTGTACAAACCAAGTGATAAACTGCCCTCTTGGATTTACAAGTGTCCCAATACTTTTGGAAGGAGATTGCTGCTTTACATATCAATGCAGTAAGTGTTTTTTTCACAAGAGATGCAAAACAAGGAAAGGCACGTGAAACTACAAACTGTTTCATGTCAGTTTTGCCATGCAAAATCTGTCTCTATGTCCCATACACACAAAGAACAAGAAATTGAGTTTCCGTGTTAGCGCTAGAATCTGCAACATGGGAACTCACGTGTATTTGGAGAATATCTATATCTGCTGCCATTTAAGAAAAGCATTTTAACTAAAATCAGAACGATTATGGATCCATTATTGTATATTTCCACAAAGTTTTAAAACATTGTATTTTATGTGTCATTCACTACAGTAAATTATGGTTGCATTGTAAAGTGTATGCTAGAATAGTAATATATTTTTAAATGTATCAATAGTCAGTGTTTATTGAGGAAAAAATTATGTTGGGGTTATTCACAACAAAATTAACTTGTGGGAATTCAAAATGAATTTCTAATGTTAGGCCAAAGCAGTGGAACTGAGACAAATCTCTAAGTCAGCCACATTTTCAGTTCAGCTACTTTGGCCTTCTGTTTCACTTTCAATTCACTCCTATTTCCTGACAATTCCCATGTTATTTAAGAATCCTGACTAGTAATTCCAGGCCTAATGTAGTCCTAAGTATACCTCCTTAACTATAAGAAATGAAAACAAGATTTCTAACATGAACATTTTTCTTCATTTTGAGATAGTTACCATTTGTTATCATGAAAAAGTAAGAAAAGTAAAATTATATAGGTCACAGTTTTAAGTTTGTCTTTAAAGTTACTTAAAGACTCTATTCCTGTATTAATTATTTATTTATTTTAAATTACAAAAGGTTTTAATTGTTTATAAAAAAGACACAAAAGATATAAAGTAAATTTAAAAGATCATGCAGTTTAATTATCTTCTGTTGTTTTCTGTTATTTTTCTACAGAGCCTATGAATGTCTGTGTAAGTGAGGGAGCCGTACACCAGGTGAGATATATGTATAAACACTAAAACAGAGGCGCATCAAGTAAAATATATATATTTCATTTTATGGCTTACCAAATGACCAGCCTCGTTAGCTTGCTTGGTATAAATGTTAATAAACAAAAAAAAAATATTAGCTAAATAATTCATGAACATGAGAACATTTTAAAAATAAACATAAAACAAATAAAAGTCTATTGTTTATATATTTAGATCACAGCTGTTCAAAAATTTATTGTCAAAAATGTAAAAATGGAAATAACTACAAGAGAATCTGGAATGATTATGCTATATAATTCACAAACTAATTCTATACATTATTTTTTTCCACTTTTAGCCTGGGAATCCAGTTGCTCAAAAGAGTGGTTCATGTAAAGAATGTATGTGCACAAATAAAAAAGACACCAATACCATGTTAAATCTGATCACATGTAAATCAATCTTTTGCAATAAAGACTGCTCGAAGGTAAGGTTTATTGATTAGATTATTGACATTACAAATTAGCACATCTCGGGCTATAATTTCCTGTAGCTATAATAATTGTATTTTTTTAGGGTTCTAAATATGAAGAGGTAGAAGGCCAGTGCTGTGGAAAATGTGTAGAAGTGGCATGTACAATATTCATGGACGCGGTTACCACTATTGTTATTGAGGTACCTTATAACAATAAGTATTCAATAAACTTATCCAGAACCTCTATGATCTCTCTCTCTCTCTCTCTCTCTCTCTCTCTCTCTCTCTCTCTCTAGTTATAGTGCATATATATATATATATAGTGCATATATACAATAGTTAACAGACATATATATATATGGATAGATATATGTCTGTTAACTATTGTAAGTGCAATATTCATATATGTTTTGTTTGTTTCACAGCCTAATAAAACCTTTTCCATCAACAACTGCTCCTATTATGAATGCAAGAAAACCAATGAGCAGTTTGTCTCCACTAGAATAAGCAAGGAATGTTCTGTAAGGAGTCAGGATGATTGTAGACAGGTAATTATTGCAGATCATGAAAGGATAAAGCAATGACATACATGTACATGTGAAAGTGACCTGTTTTCTAAAATAGCATTTTCTCTGGATATTTGTCTCCAACAGGGATATAGATTTAAAGAACTTGACGATCAGTGTTGTGGCACATGTGTACAGGTGGATTGTATAACTAAACTGGAAGACAACTCATTTAAAGTCTTGAAGGTAACATATCTATAATATGTAATGTTAATACATGTTTCCAAAAAATGCTTTATTTTAGACAGTTTTTTATATTATAGTTAATATTATTTGTAGTTAAAAGAAATGCTCATTTGTACATCATCACCCATCTTTGTTGCTGTAGAAGAGAAGAAAAAAAAGTGAATTAAAGTGTTTTTCAATCTTGCCTCAAAAAGGGGAACCTAAAACACTTTCTCTCTCACTTTCTTTCTCTATGTTTATATATTTAATGTAAAAAAAATACAGTTGGAAATATTAATACATTGCTCTTCCCAATATTTATAGCCTGGAGAAATATGGATCCCACCTAATGAGGATTATGTCTCGTATACGTGCTACAAAGTTGAGGATTATTTTGTCACTGTGACAGTGAAGAAAAACTGTTCTATTTTGTAAAATGAAGAGAAAAAAATAGGACACATTATTCCCCCATAAAGCACTTCAGCAAAATAATGTGTTTTAGGGGTATTGAGTGTCCCTTTAACATGCAGCTTGTGCAAACCGCGGTATGATAAGACTCTCTGTTACATTTTCATATTCTGTTTACAGCCTGCAGAAACCTGGACAAACAACTGCCAACAGTGTATTTGTGAGGAGACCTCACTTACCGTACAGTGCAAACCGGTACAATGTGAAAACCCCTCAAACATCTCTTGTGATAAAGAAGGATTCATTCTCGTACAGACACCAGACCCAAATCAGCCATGTTGCAGTCAAAATGAATGCAGTACGTGAAAATCAAATACCAAAACTGTCGACATCCCAATTGTGTTCAAAGTTTCCATAACACAATTTGCACAATGCAATACATTTTAATTGTACACATTCTTCACCCACAGGCTGTGATAGAAGTCTTTGTACAAACCAAGTGAAAAACTTTTTACATCCCATTTGTGTTAAATGTTTCATATCACAATTTGCACAATGTAATACATTGTAATTGTACCTCATTCTTCACCCACAGGTTGTGATAGAAGTCTTTGTACAAACCAAGTGAAAAACTGTCCTCTTGGATTTACAAGTGACCCAGTACTTTTGGTAGGAGATTGCTGCTTTACATATGAGTGCAGTAAGTATTATACTCTATTGCAACAAGGGGGTCTTTTGTCTCAATAGATATGAAACAATGAAAGGCCTCACACTACAAACGGTTCAAGTTAAAAATTAGTAATGTCAGATTTGCCACAGTCCCACACACTCAAACAATAAATGGAGTTTCCGTGTTAGAACTAGAGTCTGCAACCTGGAAACTCGTGTAGTTGGAGAATATATATATATATCTTGCACCATCACCAACACTTGGATCTCCAAAGGAATGCCTACCACACATTACTAACCTAACTGGAGAATATCTATGGCATACTGACAGCTTTGACAGTAAACTATTTCTTCTATTCACATTTATTTCTTGACAATTTCAATGTTAGTAAATAACATTGACTTGTAATTCCAGATCTAAACGTAGTCCTAAGTATAGTTCCTCAACTATAAGAAATGAAAACATGATTTCAACCATGAAAAACTTTCAATTTTAGATAGATTCAATTTGTTATCATGGAAAAGTAACAAAATAAATAAAGTAATAAAATAATATAGGTCATCGTTATTAATACTTCATTGTAAAACTTACTTAAAGACCATATTCCTGTATTATTATTTTTGTTTTGCTTTTTGACAAACTGTTTTAATTGTTTATACAAAGATACCTAAGATTAAAAGTAAATTCAAAGAGCATGCACTTTAATTATCTTTGGGTTTTTCTGTTATTTTTCTACAGAGCCTCTGAATGTCTGTGTAAGTGAGGAAGCCATATACCAGGTGAGATATATGCATAAAAACTAAAACAAAGGTGCATCAAGTAAAATATAGATTTTTTTATTTTATTATGGATTAAATATGGCCTGCCTCTTTAGCTTGCTTGCTATAAATATTAATAAAGAAAAAACTTTTAGCTAAATAATTCATGAACATGAGAACATTTTAAAATAAAAATAAAACAAATAAAAGTCTATTGTTTATATATTTAGATCACAGCTGTTCAAATAATTTATTATCAAAAATGTATAAATGGAAAGAACTATGAGGGAGACTAGAATGATTATGCTATACCAATTTCACTAATTCTATACATTATTTTTTCCCACCTTTAGCCTGGGAGTCCAGTTGCTCAAAAGAGTGGTTCATGTAAAGAATGTATGTGCACAACGGAAAAGGACACCAATACCATGTTAAATCTGATCACATGTAAATCCATCTCATGCAATAAAGATTGTTTAAAGGTAAGGTTTATTGATGACATTATTGACATTATAAATTAGCACATCTCGGGCCATAATTTCCTGTAGCTGTAATAATTGTATTTCTATTTTTTTTCTATCAGGGTTATAAATATGAAGAGGTAGAAGATCAGTGTTGTGGAAAATGTGTACAGGTGGCATGTAGAATAATCATGCATGCGGCTACCACTATTGTTATTGAGGTACCTCATTAATAATGTACATATTATTCAATAAACGTATCCAGAATTTCTATGATCTCTCTCAAGCTATAGTATGTATACATATATATATATATATATATATATAAATATATATATATATATATGTATATATGTTTAACTACTGTAAGTGCAATATTAATATAGTTTTTTGTTTGTTTCACAGCCTAATAAAACCTATTCAATTAACAACTGCTCTTATTATGAATGCAACAAAACCAATGAGCAGTTTGTCTCCACGAGAATAAACAAGGAATGTTCTGTAAGGAGTCAGGATGACTGTAGACAGGTAATCATTGCGGATCATTAATGTATAAAGTGTTGACACAAAAGTGAAACTGACCTGTTTTCTAAAATAACATTTCCTCTTGATATATGTCTCCAACAGGGATATAGATTTAAAGAACTTGATGATCAGTGTTGTGGCACCTGTGTACAGGTGGATTGTATAACTAAACTGGAAGACAACTCATTTAAAGTCTTGAAGGTAACACATCTAAAATGCCAAATATGTTAGTACATGATTGCATTTTTTACTATAATTGCATTTTTGGCTATCTAAAATGCCAAATACATTAGTACATGCTGCATTTTTTACTATAAAATATATAATATGAGAATTAGAATTAATCATTTTCATAGAATCATAGAATTAGAATTAATCATAATTATATTAGAATTATTATTAATCATAGTTAAAATAAATACTCGGTTGTACATCATCACACATTGTTGTAGCTGTAGAAGAGAAGCAAAATAAGCAAATTAAAGTGTTTTCCAATCTTGCCTCAAAAAGGGAAACCTAAATCTCTCTATCTCACTTTCTTTCTTTATATTAAAAAAATATATATACATAGTAGAAAAGTTACAAGTTGAAAATATATTAATAACCTGAAGAAATGTGGATCCCGCCTTATGTGGAATGTATCTCTTATAAGTGCCACAAAATTGATAATTATTTTGTCACTGTGCAAGTGTGCAAGACATTATGTTCTATTTTATTAAATTAGAAAAAGTAAATAGGACACACTCTTCACACATAAAGCTCTTCAGCAATATAAAGTTTTTCAGGGGGTCTGGAGTGTCCCTTTAACATGTAGCTTGTGCAATATGTTATGATTCACTGTGACATTTTAATATTCTGTTTACAGCCTGCAGAAACCTGGACAAACAACTGCCAACAGTGTATTTGTGAAGAGACCTCACTTACCGTACAGTGCAAACCGGTACAATGTGAAGACCCCTCCAACATCTCTTGTGATAAAGAAGGATACATTCTCATACAGACATCAGACCCAAATCAGCCATGCTGCAGTCAAAATCAATGCAGTAAGTGAATTCAAAACACAAATACCAAAAACTGTCTACATCCCATTTGTGTTAAATGTTTCGTAACACAATTTGCACAATGTAATGCATTTTAATTGTACATCATTCTTCACCCACAGGCTGTAATAAAAGTCTTTGTACAAACCAAGTGAAAAACTGTCCTCTTGGATTTACAAGTGACTCAGTACTTTTGGAAGGAGATTGCTGCTTTACATATGAGTGCAGTAAGTATTATTCTCCGTTGTAACAAGGGGTCATTTTTCACAATATATACAAGACAATGAAAGGCCTCACACTACAAACTGTTTCATGTTAAAAATTAGTAATGACAGATTTGCAACTGTCCCATACACTCAAAGAAATGGGGTTTCCTTGTTAGTACTAGAGTCTGCACCATGGGAACTCATATGTAGTTGGAGAATATCTATATCTTGCACCATCACCAAAACTTGGGTCTCCAAAGGAATGTCTACCACACATTACTTACCTAACTGGAGAATATCTATGGAATACTGACAGCTTTGACAATAATCTAATTATTTCTATTCACATTTATTTCCAGACAATTCCAATGTTATTGAATAACCCTGACTATGAATTCCAGATCTAAATGTAGATCTAAGTATAGCTCCTTAACAACAAGTAATTAAAATCTTTAAATTTGAGATAGATTAGATTTGCTATCACATAAAAGGAACAAAAAGTAAAATTGTATAGGTCATAGTTATTAATAATTTGTTTTAAAAGTTACATAAAGACTCTATTTCTGTATTATTATTATTGTTTATTTATTTATTTTACAAAAAAGGTTTTAATTGCTTATACAAAAACACTAAAGATTAAAAGTAAATTAATAGAGCATGCACTTTAATTATCTTTGGGTTTTTCTGTTATTTTTCTGCAGAGCCTCTGAATGTCTGTGTAAGTGAGGAAGCCATGTACCAGGTGAGATATATGTATAAAAACTAAAACAAAGGTGCATCAAGTAAAATACATATATTTTTTTGTATTATGGATTAAATATGGTCTGCTTTGTTAGCTCGCTTGCTATAAATGTTAATAAAGAAAAATAATTTTAGCTAAACAATTGATAGAAATTAAAACATTTTAAAAATTAAACAACTCAAGGCCCATTGTTTAAATATTTAGATCACAGCTGTTCAAATAATTTATTGTCAAAAATGTATAAATGGAAAGAACTATGAGTGAGACTAGAATGAATATGCATTACCAATTTCATTAATTGGGAAAAAAAGCAGAAAAGACCTAAGGGGCAAGACAAGCCTGGCCCTAGAGTAAAAAATAGGACTGAGTGGAATGCTCTTGAGAAATGCGCGTCGAGCTTAGACGCTGAATTTTTTTTAACTTGGTTAGCTTCTCTATGTAGCCGAACATTTCTACTTTAGATTCTCTTTATGCAGTTATCTGGAAGGCAGGAGTAAGATAGACAGTGAGAATTGGGTCTGATATATTTTTCAGATAGATGATCGAGATTGGTGGATTTTCATTTACAGATAGTGTGTAACATAACAATTGTTATACAATAAGGGTGAAGTGTGATACTTAAACATAGGATTTAAATATCTAACTGGGGAAACGGCATGTTTTGGTCCTAGTGGGGCGTTTATATTTATGCAATACCCATTTAGGCTTCTTTTTGCGGCACAGATCCCAGATATTTGTCTCCCATACGGAACCACTCTTAATTAGAGACTCATAGATAGTTGTGTTTTTTTATCTTCAAACTTCTATCCCTCAACATCTGAGCACTGAGCTCCTAACTTATAATATAGGGAAGCTAAGCATATATATTTTCAATTTCGAAGTTACTACACGTTAGGAATTTACCTAAAAAGACCACACGATCTATCCCCATGTAATTCCACCTCCACACTTGATTCAACTGCGTTATTGGAGATTTCAAAATATGTGGATACAACCACCTGTTATTTTGTTGCATATTGGTAACTATTTTCCTATTTCATTTTCTAAAGATACTTTATTAGGTGCGTTTGAATGGCTATATGACCTGCTTTGTATTTGAAAATTATATTAGTAGCCATTTCTAAATACACCACATAGGCTACATAGATCCTTTCTTTTTTAAGTCACCAGCACATTTCTGCTTTTTTTCACATTTCACTTTTATGTTCACTTTTTATGTTTACGTTTGCGGAGTTCACATGTTTTGTGCAGTACAACACAGTACTGAATAAAGATAGAAAATATCTGAATTTTTTAACCCTTTGAGTTGCCACTCTTGATGTGGGTAAATCACTGGTGGACTTCTAGAGAATTAATATCAGTGTGCTGTCGGCACTCATTTTTTCCTTCCTCTATATAGCCCCCTGAGGTATCCTTTTCTCCAATTTCACTAATTCTATAAATTATTTTTTTCCCACCTTTAGCCTGGAAGTCCAGTTGCTCAAAAGAGTGGTTCATGTAAAGAATGTATGTGCACAACGGAAAAGGACACCGATACCATGTTAAATCTGATCACATGTAAATCCATCTCATGCAATAAAGATTGTTTAAAGGTGAGGTTTATTGATGACATTATTGACATTATAAATTAGCACATCACGGCGGGCCATAACTTCCTGTAGCTGTAATAATTGTATTTTTTTTTCTATCAGGGTTACAAATATGAAGAGGTAGAAGATCAATGTTGTGGGAAATGTGTACAGGTGGCATGTACAATAATCATGGATGCGGCTACCACTATTGTTATTGAGGTACCTCATTAATAATGTACATATTATTCAATAAACGTATCCAGAATTTCTATGATCTCTCTCTCTCTAACTATTGTAAGTGTAATATTAACATAGTATTTTGTTTGTTTCACAGCCTAATAAAACCTATTCAATTAACAACTGCTCTTATTATGAATGCAACAAAACCAATGAGCAGTTTGTCTCCACGAGAATAAACAAGGAATGTTCTGTAAGGAGTCAGGATGACTGTAGACAGGTAATCATTGCGGATCATTACTGTATAAAGTGTTGACACAAAAGTGGAACTGACCTGTTTTCTAAAATAACATTTCCTCTGGATATATGTCTCCAACAGGGATATAGATTTAAAGAAATTGATGATCAGTGTTGTGGCACATGTGTACAGGTGGATTGTATAACTAAACTGGAAGACAACTCATTTAAAGTATTGAAGGTAACACATCAATAATATCTAATTTAAAAAAAAACTGCTTTATTTTAGAGAGTTATTATATTAGAATTCATTTTATTACTAATTATAGTTTAAATAAATACTTGGTTGTATATCATCCCACATCTTTGTTGCTGTAGAAGAGAACAAAAAGGAAATAAATAGATTTCTCTTAGCGATATTTATAGACTGAAGAAACATCGATCCCACCTAATGAGGATTATATCTCTTATAAATGCCGCAATTTGAGGACCTGCTTGTTACTGCAACATTGAAGAAAAACTGTTCTATTTTGTAAAATTAAGAAAAAAAGAGGACACACTTCACACAAAGCACTTCAGCAAGATAAAGTGTTTTAGGGGTCTGGAGTGTCCCTTTAACATGCAACTTGTGCATACCGCAGTATGATAAGATTCAATGTGACATTTTCATATTGTTTACAGCCTGCAGAAACCTGGACAAACAACTGCCAACAGTGTATTTGTGAGGAGACCTCACTTACCGTACAGTGCAAACCGGTACAATGTGAAAACCCCACAAACATCTCTTGTGATAAGGAAGGATACATTCTCATACAGACATCAGACCCAAATCAGCCATGTTGCAGTCAAAACAAATGCAGTAAGTGAAATCAAAACACAAATACCAAAAACTGTCTACATCCCATTTGTGTTTCAAAACACAATTTGCACAATGTAATGCATTTTAATTGTACGTCATTCTTTGCCCACAGTTTGTAATAGAAGTCTTTGTACAAACCAAGTGCTAAACTGTCCTCTTGGATTTACAAGTGACCCAGTACTTTTGGAAGGCGATTGCTGCTTTAAATATGAGTGCAGTAAGTATTATACTCCGTTGCAACAAGGGGTCTTTTTCACAATATATACAAAACAATGAAAGGCCTCACACTACAAACTGTTTCAAGTTCAAAATAGTAATGTCAGATTTGCAACTGTCCCACGCACTTAAAGAACAAGAAATTGGGTTTCCTTGTTAGTACTAGAGCCTGCAACATGGTAACCCATGTGTAGCTGGTTCCTACCACACATTACTTACCTAACTGGAGAATATCTATGGAATACTGACAGCTTTAACAGTAAACTATTTCTGTATCATGTAAGAAAGCATATTAACTAAAATCAGAAAGATCATGCTTCCACTATTGTATGTTTTCCACAGAGCTATATGAAATGGTATTTTATGTTTTATTCACTGCCGTAAATTGTAGTTGAATTGCAAAATGTATGCCAAAATAGTAATCTCTTTTAAATTTATAAATATATGCAGTGTTTAGTGGGGAAAAAAAATAATGTTGGGGTTAATCACAACACAATGACATTGTGGTAGTTCAAAATGAATTTCTAGTGTTATTCCAAAGCAGCTGAACTAAAAAGAAACTCTAAGTCAGCCACATTTTCTGTTCAGCTACTTTGGCCTTTGATTCGAGATCACTTTCAATTCACTTTTATTTTCTGACAATTCCCATGTTAGTAAATAACAGCTAATACAGCTAATCAATTATAAGTAATGAACACAAGATTTCTAACATGAAACTTGTTCTTCATTTTGGGATGGATCCCATTTGTTATAATGGAAAAGTAAAAAAAGTAAAATTGATGTAGGTCATAGCCATTAATACTTTGTTTTTAAAGTTACGTAAAGACTCTATTCCTGTATTATTATTATTTTTATTATTTATTTTTATTTTTGAGAACTGATTTTAATTGTTTTTTAAAAAAAGACACAAACGATATAAAGAAAATTTTAATGCATGCAGTTTAATTATCTTCTGTTTTTTTCTGTTATTTTTACACAGAGCCTATGAATGTCTGTGTAAGTGAGGAATCCATATACCAGGTGAGACATAGGTCAATTCAGATAAGCAATTATATAAATACTAAAACAAAGGCATATCAAGTAAAATATGAATTTTGTTGAATACGGCCAGCCTTATTAGCTTGTTTGGTATAAATGTTAACAAAGAAGTAACAAATATTAGCTAAACATTTCACGGACATTAAAACATTTTAAAAATAAAAATAATAGAAGCTTATTGTTTAATTATGTAGATCACAGATGTTCAAATAATTTATTGTCAAAAATGTATAAATGGAAATAACTACGAGAGAATCTGGAATGATTATGCTATATAATTCACAAACTAATTCTATACATTATTCTCCCCACCTCCCCCCCCCCCAACCTTAGCCCGGGAATCCAGTTTTTCAAAAGAGTGGTTCATGTAAAGAATGTATGTGCACAGATGAAAAAGACACCAATACCATGTTAAATCTGATCACATGTAAATCCATCTCTTGCGATAAAGAGTGCTCAAAGGTGAGTTCTATTGATAACATTATTGAAGTTATAAATGAACACATCTCGGGCCATAATTTCTTGTAGCTATAATATTTTATTTTTCATTTTTTTTATATCAGGGTTATATATATGAAGAGGTAGAAGGAGAGTGCTGTGGAAAATGTGTACAGGTGGCATGTGCAATATTCATGGATGCAGCTACCACTATTGTTATTGAGGTACCTCATAAATAATGTACACAATATTCAATAAGCTTATCCAGAATTTTTACAGAATGATTACTCCGTCTCTAGATTGTGGGAAATATTTATATATATTTTTTGTGCTTCACAGCCTAGTGAAACATATTCAGTGAACAACTGCTCTTATTATGAATGCAAGAAAACCAATGAGCAATTTGTTGCCACAAGAATAAACAAGGAATGTTCTGTAATGAGTCAGGATGACTGTTTGCAGGTAAATATAGTAGATACTAGATCATAAATTCATAAAGCAATGACACACATGTGGAAGTGACATGTTTTGTTAAATAACATTTCCTCTGGATATTTGTCTCCAACAGGGATATAGATTTAAAAAACTTGATAATCAGTGTTGTGGCACATGTGAACAGGTGGATTGTATAATTAAACTGGAAGATAACTCATTTAAAGCCTTGAAGGTAACACATCTAAAATGCCAAATATGTTAATACATGTTTTCTAAAACTGCTTTATGTTAGACAATTATAATGTTTTTAAAAATTATTATTACTAAGTATAGTTGAAAGAAATAATCAGTTGTACCTCATCACACATCTTGCTGTAGAAGAGAAGAAAAAAGCAAATTAAAATGTTTTCCAATATTACATCAAAAGGGAGACCTTTATCTCTCTTTCTTTATTTCTTTCTTTCTTTCGATATATAATGTAAAAAATTGTAAGTAGTCAATATTAATACATTTTTCTTCCAAATATGTATAGCCTGAAGAAATATGGATCCCACCTAATGAAGATTGTATCTCTTATGAGTGCCACAAAGTTGAGGACCGGTTTGTCACCGTGACAGTAAAGAAAAACTGTTCTATTCAGGAGTGTGATACTGTATGTTTATTTTATTTTTGATATATTTTGATATATTTTGATATATTTAATATACTATAACATTTTTATATATTCCAGTGTGTTTGAATAATTGTTAAATGCACCAACTGAATTTGGGAAATTGATCAAATAAATGCTTTGTTATTGTTTTATAGGGGTTTGAATACAAAGTTAAACATGGAGAATGTTGTGGAGAGTGTATCAAGATTGCTTGCACAATGAAAATGAATGATAACACAACTATAACTTTACAGGTACTGGTCTTGGTTGATTTATTTATTTAGAACATCTAGAACCATTTTAGAACTAGTTTATAGGATAAGGGAGACTTTAACTCATCCGGTAAAACAAATACATGAATATGGGTTGTTTTCTACCTCTTAAACTTCAGTATTACTCTTCTAGCCTTCGATTGGTAAATGTATAATAGGTCTTAGCCCAGCTGAGAATCAGGATAGTTTTTATCGACAACAGATACATAAAATAATGTTTGCAATTCCTGGTGCAAAGTAATATATAAAAAATGTTGCATGGCTTTTGACACTATTCTTTCTACCACTTTTTAGAGTGGAGAGAAATATATTCCACAGGATGATACATGCACAACCCACACCTGCACTGACACTTATGATGTTATAACATTGAAAGAAATATGCCCAGACTTCGACCCAACACATTGTTTGGAGGTATGTTTTTTACATTTACATTTGACATAAAAAGAAATAACTTTAAACACGCCTGATGGCTGTCTGTTGCAAGTCTCAGTTCCCAGCTAATCAAGTCTCCTGGATCTAGTTGGGACTATGCAAGTGCCAAGGAATCAGCTGAATAAGTATGGTGACTTTTTGCATCAAGCTGCCTTATGTTACAGCTGCAGGGGCTATTAAGTCTTTGATGCTTCCTGTGCAAAATTTAATTTCTGCCTGACTCCTGCATATAATATATTCTCCACCTCGGGCCTCTCTGGTGGGATACATTTCTGGGGTCCAATGATTTATAATTATTCCCTGTGGTTATATTACCTGGTGGTTCTTTCATCCTGTGTTACGCCATGTGTGGTCTGTTAGCCTAGTTTACATTTTATGCTATCCTCTTTAGCGCTTTTTTGACATACACTTGTCTGATTTACTTTATTTAAAAAAAAGTCATGTCTATAATCATGTAAACTGTCATTAACGCCTGTTTGCTTAGCTCTGCACTACAAAAATAGCGAATGTAAGAAAAATAAATATATATATATATTTTAATGATACTTTATACAATATATAGTGTATTATAAATGAATATGCTAATAACTTTGGTGTAGCAGCAAAAATAGTTACATTAGAAATAAACCTATCGGTTGCATCATGTATTGTCAATAAAGATATTAAAACCGATATTTTATAAAATGAAAGGTTGTTATTTGACTGTATTTCTGATAAATAATCCATGCTCCCTACCACCAGTTTTAAAACATTTTTGTTTTTAACACAGGGAACAATTAAGGTTTCAGAAAACGGCTGCTGCAAGACGTGTGACAGTAAGAGCATTATTTAATTAATATTAGTCTCTGAGCTAATATTTGATCATGAAGATTATAACCAATACATTCTATTGGACTAAATTCTGTGTCTAATATAATTAATAATATTTGATTGTATTCTTGGTATAAAGCTTTTAATGTTTACAGATATTCACTAGTATGTATACCTTTATGTACAAAAACGTACATATAAATAGCCTTCAAAATAATGTTTTGTATTGTTTTACTAATATTCAAGCTGTAGGATGCCAAGTCCGTAAGCAGTCCACCCATATCCAAACCAAGAACTGCAGCTCAAATCAGATTGTGGAACTCACTTACTGTGAGGGGAGATGCAACACAACATCAATGTAAGTTAACATACTAATATGAGTGATATCAATTAAATAATGCTATATTTTCTAAACAAATTATATCATTTAACATTCTTATATTTTAATAAACATTTTAATATAAGACATTTGCTAGACATGTGATAGTTTGGATTGTCATTTCAAGACACCGAGAGCATAGTTAGGTATTTAATTGTCTTGGAAACTCAAACTTATTTTTATCATGCTATTGGGAGCAACACTTCATATACTACACATATACTTATCCCTACAAGTTTGGCTCACTAACCTGTGGTGAATTTCTACTCGACAGGGCTGGATTTCCATTCGTCTATACTTATTGAAGATTGGAAATTATGAGACCTGTGCTTAAATAAATACACATAACAGTGCAAACCTGGGAACTTAAATACCAAAATTGCTCAAATATAACACTTAACACACAATATACACTTCCTCCAGTAGCCTGTAGACACTTTTGGAAATCTAAAATGTAGTTGTAAAGATGTTTATAAATCTCTTGCACTCTATGTCTAATATGATCTTTTTACAGTTACTCGGCTGATGCAAATGCAATGGAGCACAAATGTAGCTGTTGCCAGGAGACAAAGACCAGTGAACGACATGTAAGCCTGACATGTTCTGATGGAACCAGCTCACTTTACTCCTACCTGTATGTGGAAAAGTGTGGCTGCACCAGTACTCAATGTGAAAATGGTTCAAATACTTTAAAGACCAGCATTGTAAATTAGATGACCAGGTCACCAGTGCGACTTAATAGAGCGAATAACAGCAAATAAAGTCAGTATAATAGCGATTCCAGACCATTAAAATAACAATTAATGAGAAATATTAACACACCTAAATAAGAACTAATACAACATTTTTCATGCTTTTATTGTTCAAAAATATATGGTTCACAGATGTTGACCTAGCGATGTACTAATTTTCAATATGTCCTGTTTTATTTTAATTTGTCGTTTGCAAATTACATTTTTTGAATGCACCTGTCAATGTAGTGTTGGTAATTACCCACTCAAAAAGGAACTTGAACTATTGACATCTTCTAGTTACTCCTTCAGTCAATACATGGAGGATTCATAATTTTTCATCTTTATTTCTAAAAAGAAATACACATATTGACTTTTTTTTCTTCAGCAAGACTACAGTTTAACTATTTGATTGTTGGAAAGTTATGATTACTTTCTTGTGCTTTATACATATTAATAATATGTGTTTAAATCTATCGAGTTTATAAATAAAAAATATTTCAAGATTTAACTTATTGTTTTTATTTATTCATTTAGTAAATATATTGATGATGTAACATTTATTGACATGAAAGTTATTTAGAAATTATTTAGTGGGTATTAAAGACTAATGTTCCTTTGGCTGTTACATATATATATATATATATATATTTTAATATATTTTATTTTTCTAATATTTCTCTGTATACATCAATACATACATTACTTCTTAAGTTGCGATACATGTAATCAAAACGGTTAGCTTAATTCCATACAGAAAAAATATCTATAAATTTACATGTATTACAGAATTAAAATACATACAAAAACAAAAATCACTATATTGCACAGTCACTTGCCCAGGGGGATAACAATTACCATTTTTCATTGTACATATCTATATCTACAATCTTATTTTCCTTATTTAACCTACATCCGTTTTAGCTTATTTCCCTTGGGACCCAATCATACCTCTGGGGCATTATGCATATATTTAACAATAGACATTAATTACTGACTAGGAGCTTTTCGAAAAATTGTATCCATTTATTAATTTTCATCAATCCATATGAATTTTATTGAATTATTCCGATTTCCATCTCACATTGGTATATCGTTTGATTTTTTATTTCATTCCACTCTAATACATTTTTACTTTTCCAGTGCCTTGCCAACACTATCTTTGCTGCCATCAAAATGTGTATTAACAACCTACTTTTTTCAGTGGGCATAATGGGCCATCCCTGATGCAATAATAAACTCTGTGGTGTGAAGGGTATATTTACCTGACAAATTACATATATCTGATCATAAATGCTCTTCCATACCTTTCTTAACTGTTTGTATTGTCAGCATTTATGGAGATATTCTCCTTTCCCTGTTTTACATCTCCAACATTTAGTTTGCCAATCTTTATATATTTAAGACAGTTTTTCTGGGACCATATACCATCTATTTACTAGCTTATAAAAATTCTCTGCAATATTCAAGCAATGTACCAAGTTATTCACATTGACTATAGCCCTTATCATATCTAAATCTGTAATTTCTATATTAAGATCTTTTTCCCACTTAGATTTCCACTCATAGTTCCTCTGAAGCTCTTTTAGAAATTCATAACATCTAGTTATATGTCCTTTAGATCTATGATTATCCATAATATTTCTTAAACTATTAGTACTTTTATCTTCCTTAAATTCCACAAATTTCCCCAGAAAGATCTCCTTAGTATTAAGTCCAAACTCTGTTTGTAACTGGCTAAAAGGCTTAATTTCTTTTTTATCTGTACAATCTTGGATTATTATTATTTTATTATTTATATAGCGCCATCACATTCCGTAGCGATGTACAATGGGTGTTAGTCTGAATTCCCACCTGTAGCCATTTACTGATATTAATATCTTCAATATTCCCCGGGATCACCTCCATAGGTAAAAAAGTAAACAGTCTATATTCTATTTTATAATCTTTTTTTATTTTATTCCACAGTCTCAAAATACTATTAATAATTATAGAATATTACCTTTGTATATTTAATAGTTACGTTTGTATATTTAATAGTTTTATTGTACTAATCATAGGGAATAACATGTTTTATTAAAAACAATATTTTAATATCTAATTTAATATGCTTTATCCAGTTAGAGGTAGTTATGAAAATCCATGAACTTGTGACCAAAACCTTTATTAGTTTATGTAATTGTTACCTTATACATTCTCGTTAAGTGCATGTATACATATTATATTTTGTTTTTAACATTACATTTTCAGTGATATGTGTTAAGGCTGTAGTGAAAATTAAAAAACAGTTTGAGAATTTGGACTTGCAAATCAGACATTTCACATAACAATTTACTTGCAAATCAGACATTTCACATATCAATGTACGAGTTCCAGGTCACATTATCAGCGCAGTACTGCATGTTAATAATAGAAAACAATTTGGGTTAGTTCTGTTTTGGGTATTTTTTCACATGTTTGTTTCATCATCAATTATTTGCCAAAAGTCAGTAGAATTGACAGTTCTGGTACAGTTCTGATACTTATGTCCCCATTGAAGGCCATTTTGGTGGTGGGCAGTGATCATCATGGGCATTCTGACCAGTCAGCTCCATGTACAACAAACTGTGATTCATTGTGTTTATGACACCTTTCTATCATGGCCAGCATGAAATATTTCAGCTATAGTATTGTATCAGACCAGATGGTCTATCCTTTGCTCTCCACATGCAGCGATGAACCTTGGGCACGCATGATCCTGATGCCGGTTCACCAGTTGTCCTTCCTTGCATTACTTTTCTTAAAGTAGGTACTACTCACTACATACTGGGAACACCCTCACAAGACTTGCCATTTTGGAGATGCTCTGACCCTAATCTTCTAGTCATCCCTATTTAGCCCTTGTCAAAATCACTCAGATCATTTCGCTTCCCCATTTTTCCTGCTTCTAACACATTAAATTCAAGAAATGACTTCACTTGCTGCTTAAAATATATCACACCCCTTGACAGGTGCCATTGTAACAATATAATCAATGTTATTCTCTTCATCTGTCTGTGATTTTAAAATTTGACAGATCAGTGTACATATAAACATTTATATATTAGCTGTTTATGAAATCTATAATTTTTAAATTTAGATGCATTTTTATTACTGCTCTGCTTTTTAACTCTATTGGTTACCTTTTCTTACTTAACTGGTGAACCAAATGGCTGAAAATATTTATATATCTGTTTTTCTCTTGTATCTATAGTGTGCTGAATTGGTTGTCTGGGACACAGCACTTAATTGTGTAGCAGCATTAATTATTTACTGGTATTTAGCATTCTGCACTGTAATCTTTTTTTAAAAATTGTAGAATTTTTTTTTTTTTTACCCATTTTTTTCACCAATCCTTTGAATGTCTATTTAGCGCTTTTTACAATATTTAAACTTAGTTTTACTGTTCGTTCTTCTCCAGTTTGTAAAACTAAAAATTTATGTATTTAACAAAAGGATTAATTTTGGATCAAATATCGACACAGTATTTCAAAACAATTATGGCCATATCACACAAAATACTTCTAACCAAAGAACTTAAGATAAAATGGGAGATCACCATTTTAGAAAAATATATTACAGAGAAAGTGCTCAGGTTTAATAAACTTCCCGCTTTCGACAGGAATGATGAAAGTTTCATGGAAGACTGGTATGTTTTTATAAAATGGAGACAACTCTTACAGAATTGGACAAAGTAATTACCCATGTTAGACAAGCATGTGAACAACACAAGACTAATAAGGATTTCATAGAACACTCTTACCAATTTGGGAGTAAAATTGACAGAATTGAACAGGACGTTATTTCAATTAACCTCTTCAGAACTGAGTCAGTCGTACACGTTCTGATCAAAACAAAATGTAAACAAAAACTGGAATTTGCGTTACATGTCTGTTCAACCGTAATTCACTTCTTTCATATTATATGCACCCACACTTATTATATATATATTTTTTCAGGAGAAACAGGGCTTTCATTACAAATCAAATATTTATATATGAAACATAATTTATTATTATGTTTACATCATTTATTATTTATCCCCATGATGGCATACCATTTGCAAAAGTAGACTACCCAATGTATTGCAAGTTGGGTATGTCCAGTCTTTTGTAGTAGCCACTTAATCACAAACACTGGTCAAAGTTAGTGTTCATATTTGTTTTTGTGTGAAAAAAGCAAACATCTAATATTTGGCCAGTGTTTGTAACTAAGTGGCTACTAAAAATGACTGGACATACCCTGTTTGCAATATCTTGGGTTGTCTATTTTTGCTATTGGTATGTCATCATGGGGGTTATTATTATTCCTGGGCTACCATACGGTCTCAAAAGGCAACCTAACCAACCTGGCAAATTTCAATGTGAAAAAAATGAAATGCAAGCCTTATATTTGACTCTCCAACTTTCCAAAACACCATAAAACCTTTACATGGGGGTACTGTTTTACTCAGGAGACTTCACTGAACACAAATATTAGTGTTTCAAAATGGTAACTTGTATTACAACAATATCATCAGTAAAAGTGCTGTTATGTGTGAAAAATGCAAAAAACATCACTTTTACTAAAACTATCATTGTTGTAATACAGTACCCCCATGTACAGGTTTTATGGTGTCTTGGACAGTTACAAGGTTACATATAGTGCTTGCAATTCAAATTCTCTGCACTTTTTGCCTTGGTTGTCATGCATGTCAATTAAATTTTAACTAATTAAATCACATAATTATGTTAACATATTACTTAAATATAAACATAGAATTTTCATATAGATATATATACATATATATGTATTTAAAGTCTACATATACACTTATGTAGTTATTTATGTAATTATATATATTTATCTGTATATATATATATATTTGCAGTTATTTGTATTTTATATATAGACAGATAGCTATAAGTGTATTTTGTTACCAATATATATATATATATATATATATATATATATAACAAAATACAGTTAGAATGAAATTACATATGTATATATATTTTATTTAAAAAATGTTTTAAATATTTTATTTATATTATTTTATTTATTATTGTAATTATACATATATATAAACATAAACTATATATAGATGTATTATATTTATAATATATTGTATATATGTAACATCATTCTAAGTTTATTTTAATATTAATATATGTACTTATATTAACATTAAAATACATTACGTATGACGTTACATATATATAAGATGTATATATTTTATATATTATATTATATATATATATATATATATATATATATACACACATATACATTTAATTTATTTTACATGTTTACAATATTTTTTTTAATACTTCCCACCAGCAGGGGGACTGTCTGACAGCTCAGACAGTCCCCCTGCTGGCAGATCCACAGCCAGCTATAGGGGGCCATGTGATCGCTCTTTGAGAGCGATCACATGGCCCTGGGGGCCCTAATTTGCCAGGGGAGGGCTGCCTGGGCTGTCAGGCAGTCCTCCCGAAAAAGGATCGCGGTGGA